AAATGCCAACTGGCCAAGTTGGGGAATAGGCATAAACCAGTTTAAGATGCTGATGGTATGATAACCTCGGATAAAAATATCACGGTTTCACAGTAGAGCATTACTGCTCTAAAATATGTGCTTTTTAAATGTCTGGGTAAAAAACACAAAAACTTTTTCCCCTTTGAAAACAATATATATACATATATACATATATACATACATATATATATATAAATAAATATATATATATATATATATATATATATATATATATATTTTTTTTTTTTTTTTTATTATAATATTTTGGAGCATTTAACATGTCAGGCTAAATAATTCAAATGAATTATTGACTTCTGCTGTCTTCATTAGTTTCAAAAACACAGATTTCATTACAATTTAAAACGCCATCTTTGGATATTTTTTCTGCTGAAAATACTGTTGTCCTAAAAAACAAACAAAAAAATGTAAATAAAAAATCTTACACATGCCTTAGGAACAGAAAATAACCGAAAACTTTGGCGGTTTTAAAACCTGGACTTTTCTAAACCGTGGTATACCTTGAAAACAGTTATCGTCCCATGCCTAGCCAGGACTCGAACCAGTGACCTTCTTGCTGTGAGGCAACAGTGACTACCACTGAGCCATCGTTCCGTCAGTGCAATTAAATTAAATTAAATTAAATTAAATTAAATTAAATTAAATTAAATTAAATTAAATTAAATTAAATTAAATTAAACTAAATTGTAATTCTCAGATTACAGGTTCTTATAGATTTAATACAATGATTAAGTCAAATATAACTTCCTATCAATACTGAAAAAAGTAAATATATTGTAGTTTTTTGTGTGCAATTAATTTAGATGAATAAAAACAGTTAGTTGACCAAAATAATATGGTAAATACAATGTAATGTAAATACATTTTCACAGATTTCACAGAGCAATTGCTAACTAGATAACATATGATTTCAGTTAAAAAATAATAAAGGTCCTTTCAAAATGCACCTTGAATTCAACATTAATAAGCAGAAATCATTGATTACGAGGGTATTAGACCATTCTAACACAACAATGGCACTAACATTAAAAACTCATTTATGACCACTGATGATAATTATCCCAATATTGCACAAAGAATTAATATCCATTTGAACTGACCGCTTTGGATCTGATAGACTCAGATTCACATTGATTGATTTATGCATTAATCGAAATGAATTATTTTTTTGGCATACGCCTAATATACCCAGTTCCCGTTCTAAATAAAAGCTCTACATGTTAGTCAGATGTTCTCTTCTTACCCAGAACAAATTATAAAGGATACCAGGAATTATGCTAAAAGCTTCTATGAACATTTAGAAAAATAATTGTTATTAAAGCTAGAATATTACTACTATTAAACTCTGTTCTAGGAAAATGAAGTCATTCAAGTGGCTTTAAGAGCCCTTTAAAGAATTTTTTTTTTGTTTGGTCGTCTTTTTAAATACTACTTAGGGGTGTCACCAAGGGAACGCAACTAGTGTGCAAGACAATGCCATTTTTCTCAGATCAGGCAGCAACCGTTAGGTGCTCCAATTGCCATGGGAACAACTTCCAGCACTCTAAAGGTTACTGCAATGGTACTGCTATTGATGCCTGATCCGACCCTGGCATCAGTAAGACTCAAACTAGTCAACGTTCAGGCTTGGTGACTCAATGCAGGCACAGCAGGACATTTTATTTTTCTCCACATGACAGTGTAAAAGTCCTACCTGCCACCATTCTAGTTCTCCTCTGGGGAGCTGCACTCCATATGTCTGGAGAGCAAGATAGAGGGCGGTGAGGGCGAGGTGTTGAGGCCGATGGCGGACACACACAGAGCCATGGTAACTGTCTTTTAATACAGCCAGAGCTGTCTCTGCAATGGGGGTTCGAGACCAGGCATGGCGGTTCAGGAGACTTCTTACGGAGAGCAGGTAGTGCAGCAGGTACTGGGACACGGTGAGAAGTTTGTTAGAAGGAGAAAAACTGTTTTGAAGAACAGTACAGACTCAGATAAACTTTTCTAGATCCGCAGAGAGGTTGAAATTACATCTTAACTGGCTGCATAATATTTGTACACTAATAGAAATGGTTAATTAACTAATTTGCCTCATTTAATCAATCTACACTTTTTATTCTTGTGAATATGATAACTTTTAGAGATTTGGTCTGTTTTTTATTCCTATATGTCATTTATTTCTCATTTGCTGTATATTTTTGTAATTTGATGATGTTGAAATATTACATATTTTATACATAACTTACATGCTTTGGCAATACATCCGCAGCAAACTGTCAGAAAGACTCATGGATAATAGAATTTAATGTGCAACAACTTGGAGCTTTAAATTTTTGATAGTTAGTGTGGTTTTCTATTTTTTTGTTGTTAGTGTATTACTATGTGCGTATGGATGTATATATGTACATGTATGTAGGTAGGTAGGTATGTGTACGGATATGTATATGTATGGGCACGTACATATACATGCATGTATGTATGTATATATGTATTATTTCCTATAATATTATAGACTGTAAATGTACCTTGTATCCTATTATGTGTGTGTTTAAGATATGTGTATCTTATGTTTATATGAGGAGTAGATCTTGTTTTGTTTATTGAAAGAAAACTGTAAAGATGCGTGACCACTCGCATGTAAAATCAATAAAATCTTAATAAAAAAATGAATAAAATAAAACGTCAGCAACAGATTTTACATATCAGTGGGTGCATGTGGCAACTGAATAGAAGAAGTAAAACAAATAGTGGATTTCTTTTTTTATTTCAACGATATATATATATATATATATATTTTTACTTCAACCCACTGAAAAGAAACAGTGTATAACAGTGTCATAATAAATAAAAATATTGCTTAAAATCACTCTTTTTGTCGAATGTAGTTAACCATGTGCCATGGGTAAAAGGTGTGTTTCAATCCGGCTACCACGGCAAGTGTATTTCAAACCTGTGGAAAGCACTAGACTAATTAATGAAATGAGGAGAATGAAAGTAATAAACTAATAGAGAGTTTCTGCACTGTGCATAAAGACATTTCAGTCTGTGATACTATTTTAAAGCAGTGTTATTTTAGTATTAGTGGTATATTTTTAATTTTAAATCATAGTTTGGCTTTTTGTGCATATGTTAATTTTTGACTGTATGCTCATGTTTGAGATCAAAATTATCTAGTTTTGGAGCCCTGTGTAAAGCCCACCAATTTTTACTAAAATTTTGTTGCCACCTGTGAGGGAAACCAATTATCAATACATGTTTTTACAAATTTTACCTTTATTAATCTGGGGTCGCCACAGTAGAATGAACCGCTAACTTATCCACCATATGTTTTACGCAGCAGATACCCTTCCAAGTGCAACCCATCACTAGGAAACATCTATACACACTCATTCATACTACGGACAATTCAGCATATCCAATTCACCTATAGCACAAGTTTTTGCACTTGTGGGCGAAACTGAAGCACCCGGAGGAAACCCACGCATACACGAGGAAAACATGCAAACTCCACACAGAAATGCCAACTGACCCAGCCGGGGCTTGAACCAGCAACCTTCTTGCTGTGAGGCATTTGTGCTACCCACTGCACTACTGTGCTGCCATAATGTTAATGATTTTTTAACAGTTTTAATTTGTAATACTACCCCTGCTTTAAAAAGTACACAAGGGGAAAAACATACCTTTTTATAATTATTTTCACAAAATCAGTACTTTCTATAAATAATTTCACAAAATTAGTTCTTATTATTGTAAATTCATTGAAGCTCACAAATTTTAAAACAACTTCATATTGTAATGTTTTGTACTGAAGACACATTATACATTAAATAGATTTTTATTTGTCTAGGAATCCCTAAGATGTTAAACATTTGATTTCAGAACACATCAAATTTTAGAAATAGCAAACATCTACGGGTATTACCTTGTGTGGATGCTCAAAGGTCACTTGAAAGTTCAGCTGTCGAAGGATGAGGAGCTCACATTGCACAATGCTGTCCCTCAACTCCCAGAACTTCCCATTAAGTTCTAGTGGTTCACTATCTGGATGAAAATACCTGGATCAAAGAAAAATACAAATGAGCTACTACACTACTAACGTTAAATGGATTCTGAGTCCACCCTGCTACAATAACCCTTCTGCTACCTGTGACAGACATTGATGATATCTCTGGTCCTGAGATGCTGCTCTTCCACTTTGCCTGCGAGGTAGATGGCAGACATGGCCACTAGATAAGGCTCATAGATCTGCAAACTGGCAGACTGGAAGAACCTATGATACAGCACACATGCAGTAGCCATGGGCACAGATCTCATGCCCAGCTTCACCCCTACACATGTGCAAAATAAGAGATAAACTCAGTCAGAAACAAAAATCCTTCGAGAAGCGGAGGTATCACGATACATTTCTTAAAGTTGTTTAATATGAAAAACCTAGTCCAGCATACATTTCATAAAAATGCAAATACCCGTCTCGGTGATAAAGCGACAAACTCTGAAGTGTGTTTTGGAGTATTCCACATCTTCAGCACTTCTTCTGCCTCTCGCTTCATTGGCAGCTGCAGATGTTGACGCATGCGCGCTCATTTTACGTCGTTCAGCAGACGTTTCAAAGCGCGTTTATCAGTTTACATTGCTTGTATTAAATTTCGTCTTTAAACATAACATGTACTTCTTTAGTATTAGTCGTTTGTACTACAACCGTAAGCACGTAAATTGAGACTTTTCTTCGGCTAATGTTCGGCCTCCCACACAGAGCTCTACAGCGCCTCCGTTGTCTGGGAAGAAGATATACGTGGACGACGAAAGAATGGCAAATAATTTATCAAGTAGAAAATGTTTTCTTCAGCTGTAAAAGAGATTATTTAAAAATATTCTATTACGTACGGCGTTTTTTAAACCGCCAAATAACTTTTAAGAGTGAGTAAACTCCTATCTCCTGAGATAAAACTGTATTTTTACCCTTGATATTTTGAAAGGTTGCTAGGAGACCACTGCCAACACAGCCGTGAGGAAACATGTCGACAAGTTACTCTGCAAACCAGGTGCTGAAACTCTCGTTTTTCTACTTATTATATTGCATTTATACGGTTAAGTTATATTTACTTATATTTAACTTTATGGTGTTTTTTGCAGTATGAAAGCGCTTTTAAGTCGCAAAAGCTCCAGAACTGGACCATCCCAAAGCAATTCAAAGAGGTATTTAACGCAGCCAATCTCATTGTAACGTTAAAAGCATTTAATCTAGAATCAACGTTAAATTAACATTAATTATTCATGAAAATGTCTACAAAATCTCGTTACCGTCTTAAATTATAAATGTAACGTTAACGTTACTGTTTTTTTTTTAATTTCATAACTAACGTTAAATATTTTACTATTTACAGTTGTTTGTGGTAAATGATGGATCAAGTCTCATTTCGGTATTAAAATCCAATTAAATTTACAATAATGATTTTACGTACAAAGCATATTAAAAGCAAGTAAAGTGTCTGCTACTAGACTACTAGTGTTTGTTACTACTAGACATACAAGTAAAATAAATATAATAGTGCCATACTATACCAGAGATATTTAGCCTAACGTTACATACTGCAGGGTTCATACAGTCATGGAAAACCTGGAAAAGTCATGGAATTTTGACATGCAATTTTCCAGGCCTAGATAAGTTTTGGAAATTCAGAAAAAAACAATTTTTTTAAAAGTCATAGAAAACATATCTGTATACTTGCATATAGGTTAGTTGTTTCTACTTTTCTGTCCTTGGCCAATCACATACTCTCACATTATTGGTGCGGCGTTAGCATTATCTAAATCAGTTTTACATAGATTTAAATATAAGCTGAAACCAAATAGTGTTGCGTGTTTTATGACATGCTGTTGTAAATTTTAACATGTTTTTTTTTTAACAACGCATATGTAGACATTGCATGAAACATTAGGTCATGAAAATTTACTTGAAAGTCTTGGAAAAAATCATGGAAAAGTCGTGGAATTTTAGTAGTAAAAATGTGTATGAACCCTGATACTGAAGATTTGTTCTGACCAGTATATAAACGAATAAGTGATTACATTAAATGTTAAACAGTTTTAATCTGATGGATGGTGGGTATGTATTACACTTATATTGTCAAGATGCTTGAAAATTACTTGTCTTTGACCCTCATGCTACTGTTAACAAACTTAAAATAAACATTAAAAATATTCATATTACAAGTACTTGTGCTTGGTCTATTTACTTTCTTTTCATTTTAAAGAGACCATCAGCAGCAGAAGGCTACACTACATTCATAGCCACAGACCGTGGTCACCTTCTACCAGGTGTAAGAACAAAGGTTTGTTTTAAACATTTGCTTAAGCTGAATGAAATTTAAACAATTACCATGCTTAAAACTTTTACATTGCTATTTTTTTATTAGCATCGAAGTGCGTGGCCAGCATTCCAAGGCACATGGGATTTACCACGTCGTATTCCTCCTGTTTCCATGAACCCCACTGCTCGCTCACAAGTGGGCCAGGACCGTCTCATGACCTGGGGACAGATGAAAATCACAACAAAGCAGGCTCACGAGGGCCCTGGTGACAGTCAGGCTATGAACAGAAACTCTCATGATGTGGTGGGTATTTAATATCTCCAGCTTTCACTCACCGGCCACTTTTGTTAGGTACACATAATGTGAATCTCCTTCTTAACCACATGTCAAAAATACTCTATTGAATCGAGATGTGCAGGCTATTTGAATGTACAGTAACAAGCGCATGGTCTTGTTTATACCAGTTTGAGACGGTTTGACTTTTGTGATATGTCATATTATCCCACTGGAAGGTAAGCTGTGGCATTTAGACAATACTTAGTTGGTAAAGAAAATTGTCAACACCATCATACCAATAGAAACCAAACCGATCATCTATGCTGTAGCAGAAATCAAGACCGATCAGACCAGGCTTCTAATCTTCTCTTGACCAGTATTGGTGAGACTAAGAGTTGTAGCCTCGGTTTGCTGTTTTTAGCTGACAGGAGCATCACATCACACATCACTGCTCTTCTGCTGTTCATCTGGTTCAAGGTTTGACTTGTTGTGAATTCAGATAAGCTCCTTTACCAACCTTGGTTGTAACAAGCGGCCACTTCAGGTTCTGTTGTCTTTCTATTAACTGAACCAGTCTGGTCACTCTTCTCTGACCTCTGGCATCAACAAGGCATATTCACCTACTTAACTTCTGATCACTCAATATTTTCTCCTTTTCAGACCATTCTGTCAATTTTAGAGATGTTTGTGCATGAATATGACAGTTGATCAGAACTTTAAGAAATACTCAGACCGGCTTGTGGGACACCTATACGTTAAAAAGTCACTTAAAAGTGTTAGTTCACCCAAAATATAAAATTCGGTTATTGATTACTAACCCTTATGTCCTTCTTATCCCGACACCTTCTCTTCATTTTCAGAACACAAATTGAATCTGAGAGCTTCCTCATCCTCCAGACAGCAACAGACCAGAAACATTCAAAGTCCAGAAAAAAAAAAAACAATCAAAACATGCAACTTCAATGGCTCAACTGTAGTATACGAAACTCCATGAACACTTTTGTGAGCCAAAAACCCCTATAAAATTACATTACGTTTGCCTGACTTATCTTCCTTATCGAGTCATCAGGTTGTGACATTTGCATGTACTTCTTCTGACTCTAATGGCAATATGTTGTACTACACATAGTAAGCTCATTCTGAGGTAGCGGAGGAGTGTACATTGGTAAACAAAGTAGTTTTTAAAATTTTTTTGCCGCACAAAAGTGTTCTTGGAGCTTATATGATTACAATTGAACCACTGAATTGAGAAGTGGCCGACAACGTTTATGATTCTTTTTCTGAACTTTGAATGTTTTGTGTTTATAGCTGTCTATGGAGGATAATGCTCTTATTGTAAAATATCCTATCCTGTGTTCTGAAAAATAAACTTGGGGATTGGAACAATAGTTTAGAAAAAAAAGATCTTTTTGGCCTTTATTTATCTTTCCCAACCATCAATACATATTTTGGTTGTCCCCCTTATCTAACCCCTTGCTTTTCTTCCCCATACTGATGCTCAGTTTGAAGCAGATCATCCTGAGTTGCTGCTAAGTAATTGGCTGAATAGGCATTGCATCTAACCAAGCAGTTCAACAGTTCAGGGCTCGAAAAATCTGGTAGCCCGAAGTCCCGGGGCTACTGCTTTTCGCTGGGCATGGTGTAGATAGACATTGGTAGCCCAATTGAAAAAAACAATAGCCCCGGGACTTCATGGTACCAGATTTTGCGAACCCTGCAATTGTACCTACTAAAGTGGCCAGTGAGTGTATAACATAGTGTTGCAAAAAAAAAAAAAAAAGTGTAAAAAAATTTTTAATGATACTAACCAATCAATATTCTCACAGGAAAACATAAATGTGGATCAGCCTGCTGAACAGTCAAAAATATACATTGACCCAGATGAAAATCAACCAGAGAAGCCTAAATCACAGCATATCCAGGACCAGTCAAGACCAGCAAGCCAGCAGGCCCAGCCTATCCCAGAAAACCTTAATATAAACCAGTCTAGACCAGCAAGTCAACGCAGCCAACAGGCTCCATCCAGACCAGCCACTCAGCAAAACCAAGCTGAATTCAGACCACCAACCCACAACAGCAGACCAGCATCTCAAGAAAAATAACACCAATTATAATCAGATCCCCTGCATGGGCAGTTATAAAAGTTCTTCCATGAAATGGCATTACGCAAGTGCAACACTTCTTTGAAAAACACTTTTGCTTCCCCAGATATTATTCTCGCATTTCCGTTGATTTAGAACTGTGCTCCCAGATTGTGCATAACGTGTGTCAGAACACATTAACTGAATTGTTTCATTGAAGCTAAAGCTGATTAGTTTTAACTAAATGGCTTTTGTATTGGGATCAGCTTGAATTAAATGCTGTCAATGAATGAAATGCAGGGTCAAGTATTACTAGAAAAATCACACATAAAATCTGAATTGAATCATATTCTTTTTTTTAAATGATAAAAACGGCATAGATTTGAAATAATTTTCTTTATTTGCTCAGTAATGAACAGACACACCTGTAAGCCCCTATAACACAACATCAGCTTGATTCACTAGTCGTCGGTTTATGCTTTTGGTGCTTGGAAGCAAATGATTGATTTTGGGAGCAGACACTGAAAGATTGTGGATGTGATGGTCCACATAAAAATGAAAACTCTGTCACCATTTACTTACAATCATGTCATTGCAAACCTCTTCCATTTTCTCTGGAACATACAGTAAAATATTATGAGGATTGTGTCCATTTAATTAATTAAATCAAATGCTCAGATTGTTTCAGATATCAACATTTTGGTTCAGCTAAAGGATATTAGTCACACAGATTCAGAATGACATGAAGTAATCGATGACAGAGTTTACGTTTTTTTTCCCTCTGAACAAAAGTCAAAAATAGCAACGCATTTTTCTCTCTCTTGTGATAAATGCACAATAAACAGCTGTATGGTCATGCCACAATGTTGTCAACAGCTTTAATTAAAAGATCAATTTTAATATCTGTGGCAAACGCTAGTTTAACTCAGAAATGCAGAGTTTCTGAAGCTCTGTTGTAAACACAGAACAAACAGTCATCATAGCCAAATTAATACACATTCAAATCAACAAACTGTTTTACCAAAATGACATGACAAAAAAAAAAATTTCAAACAATCCTCAAAATCTTAAAGGTTGGTCACATCTAAACTGTCTATATAAGAAGTAATGGTGTTTTAAGCTAAATATTAATAGCCTTAATCAGTTGAACACTAATGCGAAATATCTGATAGAAAATTATGTACTATATTAAATATATCATACATATTTATGGTATACAAGGGTCTTGCAAAATACTAAGATGAAATATATTTACCTGCCACATGCATGTCGAATATTTACAAAAAGTTAAAACTTTTTGTAGTTTTAATAAAAGGCATGAAAAACAGCATTTTTTTCTTCTTATTCTGCAACGTTAAGAACGGAGTATAAAAATTTTAATATAGTCTTTGAAATATGTTGCACATAAAACGAGATATGCACCATGTCAGAGGATGGGGTGAATTCTCAATGAGCACCTTCAGACTTTCATTTACAGCAAATGATTTGATTGAATGTCCTAAAAGGTGTCAGTGAATCTGCTGAAATTGTGTAAATAGAATGTGTGTCTGCAGCTGATATCTTTATTCCTCAAATGTAGCTTATATGCTAGGATTGCATTTAATACAGAACACAGTTTATTCTATAATGAAAAAGTGCTATGATGGTGATACAACCAATACCTTCGACTACCAAAAAAATAAAAAATAAAAAACTATTCTTGCTATATAACTAACCATAAAAGTATCCATAACCTGTTTAAAGTTTATAAATTCTTAACATCAACTAGCGTCTTATGCTAAAGTCACTTTTATTTAAAACCATCAATTCCATTGGAAGTGGATAGTTCATGCAAAAACCTTCATTTACTGCTAAACACAACCTCTGTATGAAGCAAGACTTGCTTGACTTTTTTCTTAGGTAGAACATTAAAAATATTTATGATGCCCACGATCCTGACTGCCGTGAATGTGCTATTAAGGCCCATTTGCACCAAGCATGATAATGATAAAGACAACTTTCAAAAAATTATACTGAACAAAAAACATCAGGCCACAATAACAGGAAAAAAGTTGTCCGCTGTAAAAAGCGCTGGCATTGGGGAGAAGCAATGCTTAATTTTAAGCCTTCTTTTCAAAGATTAATTAAGTTAATGACTGTCTTGGAAACAATTGGTTATAACATAAAAAGAATGAACAAAATGTATGGAATTTATGGAAGCCTTACTGTCAAATTAAAGTAAAATATCAAAGTACCTCAAATATCCAGTGCTAGTTTCAAAGTCTTTGTGTTGTCCCCTTTAAAATGCTAAGGAAAGAATTTTTTTGCTGTTATTATTGCATTAAAAAAAAAAACTTTTGATAAAAAAAACCTTTTTGATTACACGAGCTGAATTCAATGGTCACATGCGCTAGTTGCTCACTGAGGACATCTGCTGGTTACAAGGGGTAATGTAAAAAAAGCATAAACTAAAAATAAACGAATTGTTATTGGTTGTCTGTGTAAACAAATATATTTGTTAAACTATCATGCTTGGCATGAACAGGCCTTTTTAGGTTAAAACTTTAAGCTTGTTAATTAGACCAACTGTTTCATTCAGGAGCCATGGGTAATTTTGCTCTGATGCTATAGGTTTTTTGAACTCTCAAATCGCTCCCACAGACTTGGATTGTATGAATTAGGGCTGCACCATAATGAAATATCTGATATTGCAATATTTAATTTTTCTGCAATAAATATTGCGATGAACTTGAATAGCACTATTTGACAGTTTTCTAGGGAATCTAACATTATTCAGAAAATTAAATCATACAACACAAAAAAAATAAAAATGTTTTTCTTACTTTGTCTCATTTATGGTTAAAAAAATAAAAAAATCTTAGACCAAGTAAAAATATTGTTTAGTTCTCAGTCAAAAGAAATAGGTGAAAATTAAGAGTTTTTTTTTAATTTTATTTTTATTTTTTAAGAAAATTATCTGCCATTAGGGTCAGTGAAATGTTATTGTTTTCTCTTTTAAATGTAGATATTTGAACTAGAATCTTTCCCAGAGATGGGTTGCGGCTGGAAGGGCATCCGCTGCCTAAAAACTTGCCGGATAAGTTGGCGGTTCATTCCGCTGTGGCGACCCCGGATTAATAAAGGGACTAAGCCAACAAGAAAATGAATGAATGAATGAACTAGAAACGAGACAAAAATTCTAAGTAAGATTTTTTTTGCATAAATCATATAAATTTCCCATACATACAGTGATTAAATACAATTTTGTGGCTCCTGGTCAGGTTTAATTCAGACTGGACATTGCATTTCTTTGCTATGTGACTATTGCTAATGCGCACATTGCGATACCAATGCTGAAACGATATATTGTGCAGCCCTAATATGAATCACAAAGGACTATAGCTTTAGCTAAATATATTTAATGTTCTCCTAAAGAAAAAAAAAATCAGCATCTTGTCAGACCTGAGAGTAAATTTAATAATTTACCCTCGGTTTTACTTAAGTCTGAACTATCCCATTAACAGAAACATTCATGAACTCAAATAATATAGTTATTTATATAATGATTACAAATAAATACTTTCCCATTTTATATACGTTTCCCGATGATTGTCTACAACCAAAATGCAACCCAACAAAGGCACCACACAATACCTTAAAATAAACTCTTTTACACTTTATCATTAAACTATTAATAGGTATCTTAGCTGTTAGAAGAGAAAATAAACCAGTGCTCACTATCAAAGATCACACCTTTCTAAGATTGTACAGTAAAACTAAAAATAGACCACAGTGATGCACGTCTGCTCAAGCACAGGATCACAAAGCAGTGTGTGCTGATTTGATATCAAAAGAAGAGAAAAAAATAGACAAACGTGGAATGAGCATTCGACTCTAGTATTAATAACAGTGGTGTGTAGTAATAACACTTTCGACTGAGTCATGGCATGTTGATAAGAGACTGGTTCAAGGGCAAGAAAAGGCACAGAAAACAGACCCACACAGTGGGGTGAAGAGCAGCAGCTGGCAGCAGGTCGGCTCCAAAACACACAGGACTTGCACAGGTCACTTTCCAGAGCGTTTACAACTCTGATACGACTCCTACAGCAAAACCAGATCTTCAGCAAATGATCTGAGACTTGTGCAAATGTCACCATATCAGCAGCTGAACAACATTCAGAAGTGGCTGAACAGTTTCAGTCGGCGTTCAGTGGAATGGACTCAATTGTCTCTTAGCAATGCTTTACGATATAAAACAACTTACCCATTAACTCACACGGTGGAAACTTACTTATCACCATCATCCTGCTTGGTTCAAAGAAGCTTTTTGAACAATATTTGAACTGTCATTACTGGCTTTCAAGAGGGCGGGCTCGACTTTTGTGGCATTAGCAATGACCACGCCCACCTTTTCTGTCTTCGTCTTATTGGGTGATGTGAGTGGAGGATCCACCCTCCGAGGTGGAGTCTTTCCAGGTGGATGGTGTGGATCGTCTCCGATGTTGACTGATAGATTGGTGTAGAGTGGCTCAAGCTTTTTGGACAGGAGCTCATAAGTTAGTGAGTTGAGGCCATCTGAGCGCCAGTTCAGCCTTGTGCGCTTCAGCAAGTCAAACCTATGAGAATGATTTCAGAAAACAGAACTGATTTAATGAACAGACTCCATAATATTTACCTCGAAATCAAATCATTCTCTCTAAAAATAAGGTTTGTAGGTGCATTTAAGGACAGTTTTTCTTGAAGATATGTTAAACTAGGGCTGCACAATATATCGTTTTAGCATCAATATCGTGTGTATTCACAGTAGTGACATTGCAGGATCTGCAATGTTGATTGGAATTATATATTGACCAGGGGTCCCTTCTTCATACTTCGCTTAAATAATCTTAGATAATTTGATTATTATTGCTAATTTTTTTTTAAATATTATATTTTCATTTTATTAAAGCATTTTAAAACCATTATTACATAATTTCCTCCAAGATTATACATGGGTCAACAATGTTACAAGCACGCACGCACGCACACGCGCACACACACACACACAATATGAAATACGGTGATCTTGCAGACGATGACAGGGTTATACCTTAAAACTGTTATCCTAGACATTTGACAAATAGTTAAAAAAGGGTTTCCAGGTGGCTTCGAAGCCAGCAATGTTATCAGAAGGATTGTGTCTTAGTCTCTCTAAATGTAAAGGGGTAGAGAATTCTGAAAGCCAGGATTCAAAACATCCTGGATCTTTTATTCCTAGTAACTGATCTCGGGCTAATTTGGTTTTTCAAACAAGTTCACAAATCAGAATAAAATCCATGTGAGCAAAATTACATAAAATTCGTAGCAAACATTTTGATAAAAATGATAAACAATAACTTTCCACCTTTGTTGTGGACTGCAGGCTTTACACTTTTATGTGTCAAGAGCATTTAGCAATTTATTCACTTTTAGAGCACATTTTATTTACTATAGTAACCTAGGCCTATTCAAGTGTCTTAGTGTGAGAGTAACAGGCTCTATAAATTAATTTTGCATTAAAAAAAGTATTCTGCAAGTGTGTCTGCAACTTTTTTCGAAGCATCAAATCAGTCTTTGTACTTTTATTTCGGAGTGCAGATTGCATAATTTTATTTAATTAATTTTTCTAAACTATTTTAATATTTTCCCCAATTGTATATAACTACTACTGTAAGAAAGTATCAGCATTCAGTACATACCTTCAAGATTACCTTTGCTTGTAATAATGCAATCTAATCCTGTTTATATGAAATAAGCTGCTGCTCCCGAGCAGGTTTGAGCTACCAGAACTGTTGCTATGACAACAAATGAGTTTTAAAAAACTAAACGATCCTGGATTGTGTCAAAATGTCAATAACCAAATGCAGCTAATTGAGTAATCCATATATGAAGAACAGACCCCGGGAGTCGCAGTTGAAGATTTTTTACCATAACAATGGAGCAAAAGTTGATCATTTTTTTGCAGGTTTTTAAGGCATATGACTGTATGAGCATACCAGCAGAGATTAAAGCACTCGGGCACAAAAAAAATAAAATAAATAAAAGTAAAATCTGTAAATTAAAAAAATATACATTTACACAAAGAAGACTATGCAGTGATATTTTACATTTAATTATTCGATTTCTGTACCTGAATTCTAACCAAATAGCTATTTAAGCCACCTGGTGAAATATTGAAATATTTATAGCAGAAAAACAATACACTGCAATGTCAAATTTTCCAATGTTGTGACACCCTATTTTAAACACTCCCTTTATATCTACTTTTGACAGTCTCTGCCTCCTAAATCTATCAGCTCCAGTTATTCTAAAATAATTAATCATTTTCATCTTTTTGTGCGTTTACCAAGTTAAATAATTAAGAAAAATGTAATGATGAATTATTAATAATAATTTGCAAGAAACATATTTTCTGTAAAATTAGTAATTCTTGTAAGATAATTAATAACTGTGTGTCTGTAATTACACTGTAGTAAACTATCTGTAATTAAAAAAAAGTATTATCTTTAAACCACTGATAGAAATCGCATGTAACTTGCTCCAAGTGATGTAACTTCTTCTGGCAGGAAAATCTGTGAGTCATTATTCTTCTCTCATTAATTTGTGCAAAATATTTAGGATACTCCAATGGAGTTATTGTTTCTCAGCTCTGTTATTGTGATATTTCAGTGAATTTCTTATTCACATTTTGAAAACTATAATATGATGATTCTGAATACTGTAAACTATAAACTTTATCTCATTTCAGTTTAAGGAAAAATGAGAAAGTGCTTGAAATGTAGCCGCAATTCTGGAATGAGTCATACATATACACATGCATGCACACACAATAGAAATATAAACAAACTATTACTAAAACCTACTAAATATTTAATGTACTTTGTCATTATTGTTAACTAAAACTAGAAAATAATTTTTTGTGACTGAAAAAACAATAGAGATCTAAAAGTTATACACCAAAAACAAACGTTTTTTTAAAGCATATTAAAATATGCACAGTACACACACACACACACACACACACACACACACACACACACACACACACACACACACACACACACACACACACACACACACACACACACACACACACACACACACACACACACACACACACACACACACACACACACACACACACACACACGTAAATAAAAACTTTTATTTTTTATGCAATTTCGATTTGACATTCATTTGACTGGAGTACTATTAATATTAACTACAAAAGCACCATTAACATTAAATTAACACTTTATAATATAATATAATATAATATAATATAATATAATATAATATAATAGAATAGAATAGAATAGAATAGAATAGAATAGAATAGAATATAAATTACCTTCTGGGGTTTTGCTCATTACCCTGATCGCCTTTATGTTTGATCATCTTATAATGACCAATGGCCAAAGGAGGACGCATTATCTTCATCCCCGAGAGACGAACTCTGAAGACAAAAACCACAGGCCAAATACAAAAAGAGATAAATAAGAAAACACATCTAGAAGAAGGATGCTATAAATTACCAAACAGACAGAGACAAAAGACAAAGAGGCACAAAGCACAGCAGGAAAACCATTCCCAGCAGAGTCTGCAAGGTGGGCCAGATGGATGTGATTTTACTAAACTACTAAAAACTACTGTCGTTGAGGATTTTATATAGAAAAAAGATTCTAACCAGAATTTTAAATCCCCAAAAGGTTCAAATGAGGTTGAAAAGTGTCTAATCCAGCTTTAAAATACTTAAAACTTTGGGTTCTTGCCTCAGGTTCAGCCATCTGAGTCATCTGAACACAGTGACGGTTAATTATGCCACAGTCAGGTTTTCACATCACCATGAGCTGATGTGCCCTTCAAACTGTTCTCAAATAAGCAACGTCAGTTTCCCTAAAACATATAAACCCTGCGTCTGGATTATTTGTCTACACTAAAAATAATTAATGTGGAACCAGACTAAAAAAACCATGCATGGTGAATCAAATCATGTATGCATATTAAACTGGGGTTTATCGGTGTTATTGGCTTAAATAGAAAGTATGTTTTTCCATTCACTTTGAAAATTTTGTCTTGGTTAAGACAAACCTAGCTTACTAGCTGCAATGTGAATTAAATATTTTTTTCCAGTCCAATGTAAAGAAAACATCACATAACATCAGAATTTATGTCTGTAGATTTCAGTTACAATATACAGAATACTGTATGCCCACCGCAACTCTGATTATACTGTAATGTTCCTCACAGCATAATTACAGCATTGTAAGTTAATGTTAAAATCAAACCCCCTTGAAGAAAATGAATGCATTTTTTACATTCAGAACCTTACTGCGACCCACTTATTTATGGTTCAAGACAGGTACATGTATTCATCTACTGATGAGGACTGAATACTACTGTACACTAAAGCATTTTTTTGACAATGTTGCAGTACTTACAAAGTGTCATTTCAATTCTGACTTAGTTTGACCAGTGTAGTCCTTTGATTCTCAACCAAGAGATTAAATTACAAATAATTTAGAGAATCAAATACATATCTCATGTTTGATTTGCCAATAAATGACTGATTTGACTGTGAATCAAACATATAGTGCACATTTACAACTTACCGTTTGTTGTACTTAAAGGTGCTATATAGTGCACTGATTTAAAAAGTAAATTGTTCTCTGATTTCTACAAAGTAGGTATGAGGCTTAAGTAAGTTACAAATTTCTCTAGAAACTGTTAGAAATGCTTACTTGTAAATAGAGGATTTACTCCTTGAATCGGAAGGTCCTTATTGACCATATTTGGAATAGTAATGAATATAAAATGAGCTGATGCAGCCCAGTGCCTGCTCTCTTACTCACAGACACAGTGTGTGATATACTCAAAAAGAAGTTTAATTTTACTTTAAACTAAGCCAGCTATTTTTAATCCACCAGAAAATACGTTTTTTTTCCTTAGTTGTGATGTGGATAAAATAGAAGTTAGATTATAATTATACTTGACAAAAAGGACTGACAGAGATGCATTTTTGGAACTGTAAAAACATGTTTAAAAAAATGCACAATTTTGAAAAATTGTTGATTACTGTAATATTCATTGATAAGAGACTACAGACAACTTTAAAGGTGATTTTTCTGAACATTTTGATTTCTTAAACCATTCGATTTCAGATTTCTAATATTTGTAAGTCAGCCAATCATTGTTATATCCTAACAAACCAAACTTCAATGAAAAGCTTTTAGAAGATGTATGAATCCCACTTTCCAAAAATTGACCCAAATGACTGGTTTGGTGGTCACATTTGTAGCTCATCGTCTCACCATTAGGGTATCAAAGATGTAGGTGACTTTTCTTCTTTAAAGATATAATATAATAATAGTAATAAATTGGAACAAAGATTGTTTTTCCAGTATAAAGGGTTTATGCATGTTTTGCAAAGTCAATTTTAAGACTTTAAGACATTATGACCATCAAGAATGAAATTTCAAAACGCTAAGGATTTATTTAATGGTCCAGCAAAAAAATAAATGTACTTGCCCCATTTTTCAACATATCTTATAAAAAGTTAAATAAATCAAATGTATATACAATGCACTGTAACATTAGTTATGAGTAAAGTTTTGTTAAAATTTAAATGTATTGTTGGTGATAAGATGTTTGTTTGATCGATTTGGTGTCTTTACATGCACCAAGGAAAAGGACAAAGGAAAATTTAGACCGGTTTAAAATGATTTAAGCTCTACAAGACAAAATTGCAGGGAATTTAAGACTTTTTAAGAGCCCACGGACACAATGAGTATAGCAAAACAATTGATCTGTACAATTTCCAAAATCGTTTTGCTTTATAAATCCCCAATGCACATCATCAGGAGCTTGAGTCATTTTTTTGACTGTATACATTTGTTACTTTACCATCAAACTGATTTTAACTGTTTAATTAGCAATTTATGTATCATCAAGTACCCTTTTATTACCTTAGCGCGAGTTAATCAGCAGCAAATTTTAATTTTTGATCAAACTATCCCTTCAAGGTAGAACTAACCACTACAAAAAAAAAAAAAGTGTTTCCAATCCTCAACAACATCACTAATCCACTACACTTTACTGGTTTCAAGGCTTTGCCAACTTTTAATCCTCTACAGCACATTTCTCATAGCCACCAAAATAAAATGACTATTGACTCTTTATAATTAAATCAAAAAGCAATATAATCACCAAAGCAATACTGACATCTAAATAGCTGGAAGCCTTGAATCCAAACTGGTGACTGATGCGTGTACTTACTGGTCCCTCCTGGGGCTATGAGGGGCATGGAGGACAGACGTATGCAGCCAAAATGAGAAGAATGACAAGACAGCAATGCAAATGTGAACTAAAAAATGATGATGAAGACATGAAAGACGTGTGCAACACAAATGCTTAACATGACGCCATTTCTGGTGTAGTCAAACAAGTTATTTTGATCTACACCACTGCAGAGGCATTATAAAAAATATAATAAAAAAATTCAGCTATCCTCACCGAGCAGCGATGTCATCGTCCTCGCCTCCCCAGCCCCAGTACTGGTTCGGAAAGCCGTTCATTTTGAGGTACTGCTGCGGGGTTACAGCAGAAACCCCTCCGAAGTATTGGGAGTATGGGAGCCTGAGGTGGATTCAGAGCAGAGGAATAAGGTCATCTGTCTCTCTCTACTAGCCTTCATCAATCATACCATCTGAAGTATCACAGTTCTCCTGCAATTTAATGCAGCTCTGCACCTCTGCATTACAGTAATCTGGACGGCTAGATGAGAAGGGAGGTACTCTTATAGAGTAAACGATAATTCTGATGAAGCTTGGGTTGGAATAATTTTCAGGATAGCGTAATGCTATTTTATTACAGTTTATAATAGTAATTACAATGTACACTACCTGACAAAAGTCTTGTCGTCAATCCCAGTTGTAAGATCAACAAATAAATACTTGACTTCTAGTTGAACATTTGGAAAAGTGGCAGAAAGTAGATTATTCCGATGAATCATCTGTTAAACTGCATCGCAATCATAGCAAATACAGTAGAAGGCCTGTTGGACCCAAGATTCTCATAGAAATCAGTCAAGTTAAGGAAATCATGGTTTGGGGTTACATTCAGTATGGGGGTGTGCGAGAGATCTGCAAAGTGGATGGTGCCATCAACAGCCTGAGGTGTCAAGATAATTGTCCTGCCCAATACATTACAAACAACAAAAGAGGGCAAATTCTTCAGCAGGAGAGCGCTTTTTCTCATACTTCAGCCTCCACATTAAAGTTCCTTAAAGAAAAAAAGGTTAAGGTGCTCCAGGATTGGCCAGCCCAGTCACCAGAATGAACATTATTGAGCATGTCTGGGCTAAGATGGAGAAGGCATTGAAAATGAATCCAAAGAATCTTGATGAACTCTGACCGTACGTTCACACCGAAAGCAGCGAGAGCGTCAAAGTAGCCGGAAGTCATTAATTTTCAATGAGAGCCGGCGGCGTTAAGCAGCGAGGAGCAGCGCGCCACGTATTCACCGGTATGGGCGTCGAGGAGAGTTGAAATCAAGTCAACTTTATGGTAATGAGCTATGATGCAGTTCGGCGTCCACCGCTTGATAGGAGTTCAGAGAACACAGACCTGTAAAATTTGGTTCCGACCACAGTTGTTCCCAAGGGTTTGATAATTGCGGTCGCCGGATTTTTAATTATTTACAAAGTTTTCTTGCAGGAACATGCATTAAATAAGTTACTGGCGAGTTACTGATATGCAATAATGTTATATAGATTTATCTTAAAAAAGCGGGAATCTCACGCAACGTGACAATACAAAACTGTATAGCTGCTTCAGGATATTTCAGACATATGGACACATATTGGATAAATTGAGCAAAGCCACACCACACACAACTTGATCTTCCATTGTTATATGAATTTGATAAGAAGTGCACAACATTTTCACGCTAGAAACATATTTTATGCAGAAATGTAACTGATATGCTGCAACGGCTCCTTTAAATACGAGGTCAATCTAGTGAGTTTTGACGCTCTTGCCACTGAGCTGAAGGCAGACAGCGTTGTTGCGACCTTGGACGCTCTCGCCGCTTTCAGTGTGAACATAGGGTGAGAGTCCTGCAAGAATGCTTACTTTGCCATTCCAGATGACTTTATTAATGAGTCATTACAGAGATGTATAAATGCAGTCCTCCAAGCTCATGGGAGTCATACACAATATTAATTCTCTTTATACTGCACCATGACTTTATATTCTATACTGTACATTAGCTCTGTTAAGTTACAAGACTCTTGTCTAAGTAAAGTCAGACCTTACTGTCCTAATTAAATCATTAATAAGCAAGGCATGATCATATTTTATTTTGGTAAAATAAATATAATCTAGAGGCCTTTGGCTTTTATATAAGCCACGTCTGATACTAAATGACCAACTAGAAGTCAAGTTATTATTATTTGTTGTTGCTAACACTTGAATAGGCAACAAGACTTTTGTCAGGTAGTGTATGGTGTGCAATTTTTTCTATTCATTGAATAACCATTAAACCTGCCATATTTAGCAAATTGAAGCTATGGGTTGGCAAATTCAGTCACTGTCCAAAACCACACCTCCTTTAGAACACTGACCTGAGACCAGAAGTGAGAAAACGTTAGTTTAGTGCATAGTATTGCAGTAGTACCATGAATACAAGAGCTCTTATCCAATAAATGAGAGCAATGAGTTCTTAATGAGTGTCCCATGTTTTAGCAACGTGATGAGGCATTTCTTATGTGCTGGTTGGAGAATGTTTAATTCTGAGTTAATCTAACGACTTTACTGGGATTTTGAAAAAGTGGAAGCGCTCAGCAGACAGATCACCAAAGCAGCTGAAAATGTCTGTTCTCTTCCAAAACGGCTCTACTAAATTCTTGAGATCTCTTCAGCAGCACTGCATTTAACCGAAGTCCCTAAATAGTCTTTAGTGTAAAGAGACAGTTCACCCAAAAGTGAAAATTCGATCATAATTTTCTCACATTTTACTTGTTCAAAACCTTTTTTTTTTTTCTTCGGTTCGACAAAAAAGACTTTGTGAGAATCTTTATGAGTTTTATAACTGTCTTAAACACTAAACAATATATTCTGAAGAAAGCTGAAAACCTGGAAGCCTAAACTTCTATACTAGGAAAAATAACTACTATGGAAGTCAATAATTTCAGGTTCTTCAGAATGTATTATTTAGTGCTTAAGAAAATGAAAAAACTCCTAACGGTTTGGAACCACTTAAGGGTGAGTGCATTTTAATTTTCAGTGAACTGTCCCTTTACCTCAGAGTTGAATATTCTCCAAATGCCGGCACAATTAAAGTGCCTCATCATGCTGCTGCCGCTTTAAAAAACATACCACACTCCTCGAAATCAACAGAAAAATGCACATGTCTCAGGTTAAAATGCTTCTTTTTTGTATTAAACCCCCCTATAATTATGGTAGCGTTACTGCTGTAATATTAAATGTTTTCTTACTTGCGAGATATAGAGAAACCTCGCTTGTCACTTCTGGTGTCAGGTTTGCATCCGCTTGTGTATGTTCATGTGCTTTGTGAAGGAGGCTTGACTTTGGAAAGTGATTATCGCCTAACTGCTCCCCGGGCACTGCAATAATGGCTGCCCACTGCTCCAGGTGTGTGTTCACTGCTGTGTGTGCACTTGGGTCAATTGCAAAGCACAAACACCAAGTATGGCTCACCATAATTGGCCACTTCACCACTTTCACTAAAATTTAATTTAGGTTTTTTAAAATAATAAATAAATAAATAATTAAAAACAGCTAGGGAAGCTCAATCATACCTGCCAACATTAGTCTCCTGCTAACATTCTGGTGTCCGTTTGTCCGAATAACACAGCTGAGAACTAGGTGAGTAACTGTACTATAGACTGGGTTTTGGGCAGCCTCTGTGATCAAATGCTATACCAAAGTTGGCGACTCGGACATGTTACAGACTATACCAAACAAGCTGAGGACCGGGGATGGGGTGAAATTATGAGAGTTTTCTGGAAGAATTAACAAAACGGTGGCAGGATATGGGTCTGAAATACAAGAGACTCCTGGGAAAAACAGGATTCTTTTCAGGTATGTGCACAATATATCGGTGGACATATCAGTATCGGCTGCTAAATGCTATTTTTAAGTGATTGTTATCAGTTCGCTAACAATATTATGTCAATATCTTTAAGCTGATAAATAATGTATTTTTCTGCTGGTTGAACGACTACATATGGCTGACAGCTTTTTATTATTATAGTAGTATTTTGATTTTGGTTATTTTTCAGTGACTTGGTTGCTTTATGCATTTTTTTAATCAGCCAGTAAATTTTACTTATGTTAAAGAAAGTTGGCTGTAGAAAAACTAGTTGATGAATAAAATTAAGAGATAAAGAGGTCAAACTTCTTAAAATAAATCAGTTGTTAATTGTGTTTGCAATTATGTAGAAAAATTTGAGAAAAAGTCTATGGGCCCTAACATACACCAGGCGCAATAAGGCACAAGAAGTGTTTGGCACAATTTGTTTCTATTTTCAGACGAACACAACCCTAATTTTCAGGTTTTGCACCATGTTGTTTAAATAGCAAATCCATTTGTGCCACTTTGTGGACTCATGTGTGTGCTGGTCTAAAATAGAGGTGTGTTGCTATTTTGAAAAACTGAAATAGACTTCGCCATTGACCAACTAAAAGCTGAAGTCCAGTGCAGAACATGTGTGTTTTGTTATAACCCAGTTCATTTATGTTCATTTATTTGTTTGTTAGAAATTGGAACTGAATTTTGAAAGTTGAGACAAATCTTTGCGCTTAAAAAACGAAATTTAATATGTAGGCTTATGGATGTCTTCAGTGAAGTGAGTTTTCACAGTTTCCTTACTCCATGAAAGTAAAGGAGTAAAGTAAAAAGTAAAAGAGGCTGATTGGAGGAGACTCGTTCTTTATCCTCGTGCTGCAGATAGTCTGTTTAACTGTTTTCTCACTAGTGAAGCGTTCAGTTTTTCCACTTACAAAGTCCACCACGTAAACAGCAAATGTGCCATAGTGCAACGCAACTGATTCTTAAAGTGAATGTGAGATGGTTTAATGCACAGTATGCTCAAAACATTGTTAAAATAGAGCCCTATGTATCAGCTAATTCATCAGCTATTGGTCTCCAAATCTAAAAAGTTATTGGTTTTTGGTATCGGTCAGAAAAATCCCAAAATGTTTCCAAAGTTTACATCCCTAAATACATCAATTAGGTGAATATTTTACTCTAATCAAAAGCTGATTTGGTGTTGATTATTTTTGTAAAAAACAGGACACTTTTGTATAATTCTTTGATCAATAGAACAATAACAGCATTTATTTAAAATAGTTATCTTTTCTAAGATCAATTAAACATTCAACATAAGTATTAATTCCTTTAAAAAAATCTTTTACTGTGATCATTCGCTCCACCTGTCCTCCAGAGGTCCCGTGTAGTTCCAACACCTCTCCTAAGTTTTTTCGCACTGTTCATTAAACTCTGACTGATAGCTAGATGAGCTGCTGCAATGTATCTTTCACCGTCTCTGCATTTCTAGCCAAGGACTAAGTCTCTGAGTCATGTCTGGATGCTTTACAGCCTTCAGTGGATTCATCGCACAGAGGTCCTGATGTTGTCCTCAGCCTTGGTGGACTGAATATATGGGTTGTTTTCTCTGCAATCTCCTCGTTCTCTGTGAATGTTTATATCTAGGTGGACAGTGTGGCTGCCGAGTACAGAAACACACACGGTGACCTGAGATGTACTGAGGAGGATGTCAATTTGGAGGAGCAGATCCATGAGTTACCGTATTCACCTGTGTCAGCACTAATAATACATGAACTACACAGTCTGTTTTACCATGCGTGAAGAGAAGGAACTTTTACACAAGTTATATTCTTAAAAAGAAAAAGTATCGGTCAAGTGACATTTGTGTTTTTTTTTTCTTTGTTCCTCTATTTTTAAAGTTAACAGAACTGAGTAAAAAAAAATTCTGAACATAACAAAATAATAATAATAATAATAATAATAATAATTATATATATATATATATATATATATATATATATATATATATATATATATAATAATAACAACATTTTATTTACACACATAAATTTCAATAATGCTTAAAGTTATGATCAAAAGTGACAAATAATATATTAATAATGGTACAAGAATTTACCCCCAAAAAAATTCATTATCAGTAATCAGCAAATTGGATAGAGTCATTCTGAAGTCATAAGGTCTTTCCTTGCACACTGAAGATCGAAATGTTTGTATGCAGGGTTTTTTATTGTATTTATATGCAAAAATATTGTCACTAAGTCTAACTGTATTCTGTCTTTATTTTATGCACTGTGTTTGTGAAAGTTATCTGCAGCTCAAATGACGCCATTTTGTATTTAGCCTTTTGCTTGTATGGTGGCTCTGAACTGTCAGAACACCTCTCAAAGCGCTTTTTCGCAAAGCGGAAAAACAAAACAAAAACTCCATTTAGATTTTATGATGGACGAAAGTTTTGGAGGCAGTGTGACAATACGACTGACACAACATAAGGTCAAAAAAATGTTTTACATGCAAAATTTACAGACGAAAATTTCGGATTCAGTGTGCAATAACCTCTAAATAATGGTGCTTAAATATAATAGTTTTCATTTGAATAAATAAATCAATATCATTATAATATTTTTAGATATTAAAATCCAATTCAATACCTTATCTCAAAATATTAATGCTAATTTAAATGGGGTGTATTTTTGTATTTGTGTTTTTTTTATTCAACTCTGGTGTTCACAATGCAAACATGTTAAGCACAAAATAACAATAAAAACAAACAAACAGACAAATATAAATAAATATATAAATTTTATAGAGCCCATGTAATTACCCAACTTTGACACAGGCCAAGTATTTAAATTATTTTATATTTTGTGGTGGGGTGTTTTTTTTAAGTAACAATTAGATATTTTTCTTCTTTTGATGCCTTTGGTGGTCTAGGTTTGTCATAAATACATATATTGAATTTTTCACTGAAATATTCGAACAATCTGTTCAAAACATCCAAATCATTTAGAAACAAACAAGAGTCTTTATGTATGGATCACTGAATCACTGATAGTAGGCAAATACTGCAGTGTTACTCTGAGACTAATCTTCCACTCTGGCTTTGTTTACTTGTGCAATATTACTTATGGTCATGAAAAAAAAACTAAAATCATATAGCAATATTTTATAGTTTCTTTACAGACTTTACATTCTACCAGTTTTCAACTTTTAATACACATTTTTGCTAATTTAGTTTTAGCTTTCAAGTATTATCATAAACCTACTGCCCACACTGCTCCACTTTACATAACTCTTTACATAAAATTGCCAACTAAATAAAAATCAGAAAACAATCACAGTCAAAATACACAAAAGAATGCCAATCCCAGTGGTCAGGGTACCTGTATCTGAACTTGTCCATGGCCACAGAGAGGTGTGTGGGGTTCTGGGGATGGCAGGTGTAGGTATTGTGGTCATTCTCAGGCAGCAGGTCAACATCATGCAGGAAAATACAGCTCCAGTCCTCCTCTTTCAGCACCTCACGCACTCCAACATTCAGCAGCTTCGCTCGGTTAAAGGTGGAGTTCCCTGACTGAGAACACATGGAGAAAACAAATACACGCCTCAGCAAAATTAAATACACTAACATGGCCTAATAATAATCTATGAGCAACATTATAGGTCAACAGTAAGATTGGGTCATCTGTAAGATTTTATTTTTAGGAAGAAGCATGATCAACAAAGGTGCATTTATTTGATCAAAAACACAGCAAAAATTTCAACATTGTGAAATATTATTACAATTTCAGATAACTTTAGAATGAGAATTTTCAGCATCTTTACCCTAATCTTCACTGCCACATGATTCTTCAGAAACTCTAATATGCTGATCTGCTGCTCTATTCGACTCTAATTAGGCCTGCATTATATATCGTTTCAGCACCGATATCGAGATGTGACTATTGCAGATGCGCACATCGCAAAATCTCCAATGTTGAGTGAATTGTAGTTGTTCAGGAGCTACAGAACATGTGATCTGTAGAGTCTAAGTTTAACCAAAATAGAGTGGAAGCATGTGTTGTTAAGGCTGAGCACTTAGAATTTTCATCTTGGTTCTAGTCCAAATATCTATACTTCAAAGCAAAAACACAATTATTTTACTTACCCCATTGGCAGTGTTGTAAAATAGCAATCAGTTTTTTATTATTTTTGTCTCTTTTTCTTTTAATCAAACAATTATTTGTATTGGTCATGTAAGGGTTATATATTAACTGAACTTCTAATGTTGTGGGTGAGTGCTGTGCATACTAATTAGCATTTTTGCAGAAGTAGATAGATGCAGGTCCAAAGTTAAATTCAGCTCTGCAGAAACTTCCTGTCTGAATAGAGGTGTTAAAACTGAACACAGAACACAGAAAGATGTATACTTTGTTGTTGTGCAGAGAATTCGTAGAAAAAGAGGAAGTATGTCGAAGGTGCGGCCAATGGAGGACTGAACAATGACTGACTAGTGACGTTACACCAAAACTCCACCTGTTAAGATCGGTTGTGTATATATGCTGAAGTCAGGAAATGTATGTTAGTTGCGAACCTCTTGAATGTAATTCTTGTATTGCATTGGGGTAATGTAACCCAGAGCTCTGTCATCGAATTATTCATTTGTATCTAATAAATTACTAATATTTTTGGCATTGAAGAAAACCCTCTCCAGACCTTTTCTTATTGAACACGCATGGAATAGAGATATATATTCCAACAGCAGATAAATTAGCTTGTTTTAGGGAAAAGCTCTTCATTTTGACTTATTTCTTCTGATAATGAAAACATTATTTTTAACTAATTAAGAATTTGATATATATATTTGACTAGAACCAAGAGCTCTTCACACATATAGACCTTTCCAGGAAAATTACCGGCAATTTTCCAGTAAGGGATCATGTAAGAACAGGCCCTTTTTAAAAATACGGGTAAAATTATTCCAGCTATTTTCTGGAAAGAGAAGTTGTAACATTACTGGTAATTTGCCGGTAATTAAAATTTTCTTTTTAGAGTTGTTGGATTTAAAAAAAAGGTTTAAAATACCTGTATTTATTTCAGTTTTGTTTTGCTCTACAATAAAGTTTTTACTTTCATTCTTGAACAATTTACTGTGTTTCTTATAAATAAAAGTAAATACAATTTTACATGATGCTGTTTCTCAATTTCCACAATTTCCAGAGCGGATTTGCAACAGGGGCGGGGCGGAGGATCGCGATGCCGGCTCACCATCGAGGTGTCTGTAGGCCATCAGCCCAACCCTAAACTGCATGTCAACTAATTCTTATTAGATTAGAAGTAGACTGTTAGGTTGGGGTTAGGGTTAGTGTAAGTTGATGTGTACTTGCAAAGTTCCTATAGTCAGTTAAATGACTGTTGAAGAGCATTATCAACAGATATTAAGCAGACAGTCTACTAATACTCAAATAGACCATCAAAATGAAGTGTTACTCCTTTGTTTAAAAAAAAAGCTTACTGATCCCAAAACTTCTGACCATGAGAGTTTACTTATATTTCTATACAGCATAATAAGCATAGGAGGAGACCTGGTGGACGATGTAAATGGCGTAGTGGAGCTGCTGTCGCTGCAGGAAGGGGTGCAGATGGTAGAGGAGGGTGCGGAGGTGGCTCTGCCGGTTTCGGTAAGGCACCACAATGGCAGTGTGGTGCCGCGGCTCACAGTCAGGCGGGCGGTAATGTCCCCCTAAGGTCACCAGCGGGTTCTTCTCTTTGATCTCCTCCAGGGACGGGGGTGATGAGAGGTGGACAGAAACAGGACCCACTGGAGAAGGAGAACATACATAAACATGGCATTATTTATTTAGTATTTATGTAATACATCAGCACATGTCAGTGAGCCAATTTAAAATACTTAACGCAATCAATTACAAGCTTATTGTAAGCTTATTTAAACCTCAGATGGACTACTTCAACAGGTACATACTTCTCAAAGGTGAACTATTTTTTTTACAGAAATTACTTAGAGACAATTCTACAAGAAACTTTTTATTATGATGAACCATTATATCGACAGACAAATTTATATAAACTTATTTTATTATCATTTAAGCTACAGAACTATTTTCCACTAGATCCTATATTCACTATATCCACTATTTAAAGGGCTGAACGATTAACTGAAAAGTCAACATTCAGAACCTATAATGGATCTAACTTTTTTTCTATTACTTTCTGTACCGCGTGTGGAGTCATGTGACCTCACTCTGTTAAGGATGATTTATACTTCTGCTGCCACTTTGCAGCCACATCTGGTCTCTGGTCAAGTAGCACGTTGGATGCATTCTTGAGCCTTTACTTTGCACTACATTGACAATGATTGGAAGATGCACCAGTGATGCCTTAAGAGGGGACATTTTCCATTACATTAAAATTATTTACATTTAAATATTTGTTTACAAAAGATGCAAGAAATGCAATATTTAACCTATTTTTACAGGATATACAAGAGTTATTTTATTTAGACAAGATACTGTTTATTTTCTACTTTTAATATGAAAAACATTATTATTATTATTATTATAAAAAAGCAAAAAAGCTATTCATTTTCACTTTTTTATAAGAAAAAAAGTGGTTGTTGGTTTTAGGCAATGTGTGTTTTATTTTGGTTGTTTAATAAATAATCATAGATAGTCAGTGCTTCCCACAGCTGTTGCGGTGTCAGTCAGATTGAAATACACTTTTTACCCACATCACATAAATAGTTAACTATATGTGACAAACAAAACATTATAAGATTTTTAACAATATTTTAATTTTAATTTAATATTTTTCTTTTCAAATTCACTATTTCTTCACTAAAACTTGTTAGTGAACTATGAGGGCAAAAAAATTAAATAAATAAATAAAATAATTGTTTATTATTCGCAATCAAGTTAAAATGTTACATTTATCGAGATTTTGATTTTAGGCCAAATCGCTTAGCCCTCGGCTGAACTACCAAACTTTTTAATGCCCTTCAAGGTCAAATAAAGTGTTTGAGGGGTCAGAAATACGATAATTGTAATAATAAGGTCTTGTCAATGTGGTTTACTAGTTAATTATTTAATAAGCTGATCACTGTGAGTTATCAATGTACTGAAGTGTATGTAATTGCGCACAGTGTGGATGTAGACCGCATGTACCCAGTAGTGGCGAGGGCAGTGAACAGTCCCTGAGCTGCTGTTCTGCTCCGCTGGGGCCGGGATGGTGAAGCAGCAGAGAGGTGAGGTTGGTGTAAACGTCATGTGGCCGAGAGTAGTCAATCTCAGGCTCGGTGGAGTGAAGCAAAACAGACACCAGGCCACGGAATCCTCCCAATGAGAAGTAGAGGACGAACGCAAACTGGAAGCCCACCAACAGAGCCAGAGTGCAGGGGGAGTCCAGGGCTCGACCGCAGCAAACCATCATGACATCCGCAAGACGGGACAGTCAAAGGGGGAGGACAAGGGAGAGGCGAGAGAAGAGAGATAGAGTGAGGACAGAGCCACAGGCATGAGAGAGTGGAAGGATAACGGGGGTGACGAGGAGAAATAAAGTTAGCTCAGTGAGCTAAGAGAATGGAAAGACATCTATGGCATGAGTGGGAGTCGCTGGAGAAAAAAAACAGAGGAAACACAAAAATCAATAGTGACAGATCCATCACATCCAACTACAAAGGAGAACTTTAAAGCGCCAGCAAGCCCGGGATCAATGCCAGAGCTCAGATGAAATCAGCAAAAGAGCACACACACTTTTTGTGTGTGTGTGTGTCTGTGTATGTGTGTGTGTGAGGGGGTCATTCCTGTTACAAAGCACCTTTGAAAAATAATTTGCACACTTTGTCATTTCTATAAATACATACACGTAACTTTACGAGTTTAGACAACAGTTATGCTTGAATATTTGCATGAAAAAACACATGATAAATGATCATCTTCCTAAATGTACGGATTTTATATAATACAATGTAAATAAAAAGTCCATCATTCAGTGATGGGTTGTAAGTTTGTTCTCAAGGTTGACAATCTAAAGCAGGGGTCCTGGAGGGCCACAGCTCTGCAGATTTTAGCTCCAACCACATCCAACTCACACACACCTGCTTAATAGTCTTTAGTAGTCTTGAACACCTTGATTATTTGGATCAGCTGTGTTTAATTAGGGTCGGAGGACAACTGTGCAGAGCTGCAGACCTCCAGGAATCCAGTTTGAGATCTATAATCTAAAGGTATTTTAAAATTTTTGCAAACATTTGAAGAAATGTTGATATTTTCAGGAAAGTAGCAATGTCACCTCGCAAAATGAAAATAAAAATTATAATTGTAGTTGTTTTAATTATGTGTGAGCTGACATAAGCAAATGTGTACTGTAAAAAAAAATTTGAGTCAAAACCACAAATATGATACTGATTGTATGCAATATTTCAACAATCCAGAAGCAATTAATGAATGTTTCATACCAGACACAATATTTCCTCTTTTTCAATGTTTCAGACAGCTCGTTTCTTGAATAAATCTATTTTTACTTAACACATTTGATTAAGTGGCCCAATCATTTGAATGGATGATTTAAAGGTGCAGTGGGCAATCTGTGAAAATGCTTACAGCATAATAGCATTGAGAACACATGTCTCTGCCTGCTGTCCAAAGCCATGCCTCCTGAAGTCATAAACGCGCACACACTGAATAGATGTCCATAGACATCTTTATAACACTAGGGCTGTTTCTCAATATGCGTTCTTCAGTGTTCTTGTATCCTCAAGTTCTTGTGTAATGTCATCACCAACCGCCAAAGTTCAGTTCCAAAACTCAAGACTGCAAGAGCAGAGAAGCATGAAAGTTCCAGGATGCGTTCTTGATATTAAGGATGCTTCGATGCAGACTTCAGCACCAAACTCACTTTAGGAGTCCCAGAAGTCATAGAGGCTAAATAAAGGAGGTGGGAAGCACAGCATTTTACACAGATTTATTAGTACAGAGATATAACTTATTTATCTCAGGAGTTTCCCAAAATGAGACGGTGAAAGCAAATATTAACATGAAAATGTTAGAGGAATAAACACATTAAGGATGTTTATTTGCTGAAATTCATAATAAAATCTGTTTTATTTGTATTGTGCAAAGTATATTTGTGAAGTTTTTGTGCAAGATATATATATATATATATATATATATATATATATATATATATATATATATATATATATATATATATTTATATATATATATATATATATGGAAAAATAAAAAACAAGAAATCATTGTATGAATGCTGTAATGTTTAAATAATTTTCAGTTAAAAATACATGAAGGTCATGTGACCATCAGGAAGAGAGCAGCATCCCATTTGTCAGAGCAAGCGTTCTGTTTCTGCGGACTCACAAGTTTGTTCTTCCAAAGTAACCTGGCAAGAACAGTTTTCACAAGAAAGCAAGTCCATTCTCTGCATTCTTGGAATTGAGAAACAGCCTAAATCACAGGTGTCAAACTCAGTTCCTGGAGGGCCACAGCTCTGCACAGTTTAGTTCCAACCCCAATTAAACACACCTGATCAAACTTGAGGGCTTTAAGCTTGTTTGTTACCTAAGCTGCGTCCGAAACCGCATACTTCCATACTATATAGTACGCTAAAATCAGTATGCGAGCCTAGTAGTATGTGCGAATTCATAGAATTCGAAAATCAGTATGCGAGAAGTACCCGGATGACTTACTACTTCCGGCGAGATTCTAGAGTGCGCATCTCATGCATGCTGCGCTATCCCATGATGCCCCGCGAGCGAATTCATGAATGGGAGTAAAGCAACGCAATTGACGCAGGTAGGTCACCTGACCATGACAAAATGGCAGATGTAGTACGTCCGAATTCCATTCATACTTTTCACGTTCATACTATATAGAACGTACTTTTCTAACGGCCGAGTAGTACGTTTAAATTCAAATGCAGTACCTACTGAGTAGTAGGCGGTTTCGGACGTAGCCCTAGAGATATGCGAGTTGAAGCAGGGCTGGAACAGAACTGTGATCATGTCATCATGTGATCACTAGATCATGTCATTCACCAGTGAAAACTTTATAGTACTTGATAATTCTGCAATTCTAGATCTTTTGGAAATTCTCTGCAATCTATACATTGCTGTATAGCGTAGTTGTAGACAGGACAGCAGGGATAACAGAGGAAAAACAAAAAAAAGGAGTGCTAAAAAAATATCCTGCAATCCATATCGCTTTTTACATTACACTTATGTTACCATGACAAAAACTGGCACTTTCACTTGCTGCCCCTTACAGCGCTTGTGTTTAAATGGCTTTTCACCTTGTTTTACGCCTGACTAAATGAATGCTTAGGACTATTTCACTGACTATTTTCGGATTTATTTACATTATTGATTAGGGCTGCACGATTCTGGCTAAAATGTGAATCATTATTTTTTTGTTTAAAATCAAGATCACGATTTTCTCATGATTCTGTAGATGTAAAATAAAGGTTAATATTGGTAGGCTATTATTATTGTTAATTCTCAAACATATGGTAAAACAACAATAATAATATTAGGCTTGTGTAGGTATACTGTTGCTTAAAATGCAAAATTCTGTATTATGGTGGACTTGAACAGAGTTTCAATATGCCCTTTGTTAATGCACAGTAAAATGATAACATCAGAATACAACTATTTATAATTATAAAATTGAATTTTTATGTTTGAGACAGGCGAGGCAGTGGCGCAGTAGGTAGTGCTGTTGCCTAACAGCAAGAAGGTCGCTGGTTCGAACCTCGGCTCAGTTGGCGTTTCTGTGTGGAGTTTGCATGTTCTCACTGCCTTTGCGTGGGTTTCCTCCGGGTGCTCTGGTTTCCCCCACAGTCCAAAGACATGCGGTACAGGTGAATTGGGTAGGCTAAATTGTCCATAGTGTACGAGTGTGTGTGTGAATGTGTGTGTGGATGTTTCCCAGAGATGGGTTGCGGCTGGAAGGACATCCGCTGCGTAAAAACTTGCTGGATAAGTTGGCGGTTCCTTCCGCTGTGGCGACCCCGGACTAATAAAGGGACTAAGCCGACAAGAAAATGAATGAATGAATGTTTGAGACATGAGTTTGTCATCTGTTATTGACAACATTATTAGACCCTTATATTTCCATTTTATATAGGCTGGGGTTGTTATACTGACACAGGACACATTTATTTCATGCACAACACTTCGCTATGAAAGAAAAAACATATCAAATGCTTGTAATCATAACGCTAAAATGCGTTTGATCTTTTAAATGATGTGCACACGTTTCACTTTCACTTCCTAGTGCGGCTCATGGCTGCTGTCACTGTGAGAAAAAAAAACACATACATGCAAATCAAACCTCCCACACGGCCCTCAAACGATCGCTCTGTGCAACAAACTGAACGTTATTTACAACTTCATTACCTGTTATTCTCATCATATGCAGGTTGTCAAGGAAGTGTCATTTGGTCATTTGCATGCACGCACGCGTTCTCGGTAGTAAGCAAACAGTGCGTCAGCTCAAATGCAATTTCGCGAACATGAATACATCATTACATGAAGATAGAAATGACGTTTTGGGTGAATTATACCTTGTAAATACAGCATGTGACATTTTTTAACATTGAAGGTGTCAATGTTGCTGTGAAGACTGCGGCAGCCTTTTCTTTTCTCCTGACCTTGAAAACATAATTGGCTGAATCGCAGAAAAAGCTGAATTAGGATCGTGTGTATAGGGTCGAATTGAGATCGTGAACTTTTTTCGATTAATCGTGCAGCCCTATTATCAATGATGTAAAAGATACCTTATGAAATTGAAAATGGTCACATAAACCTTTCACTAAAACTTTTTCAGTGGCTGATCAACACTTCAGTACGTACTGTATAGCCCCAGTGCTTCCCACACATAGTATATTAAAAGCCCCCAAAGTATTTTTTGTGACTTTTTTAAAATGTTATTATTTATCATCCTTTCACACCTTTTTATATCTGCCCAATATAACCAAACATCCGCAATCGATTAAGTAGTGGAAAATCTTTTTGTTTACCCTTTTTGTTCAGAGTGTGCGAGACCTGTCAGCACTCCCACAGACAATCTCACATGCTCTGCAGACCCACGGAGCCTTTTGGGGCCTTAAAAAATTGGGTCTCCTAAAATGTCTGGGATTCAGCTTTTGCTTTGCTTTCTAAAGCGGTCGTTAATCGCATGAGTTTTTGCATGAGAGCGTGAGAAACATTAAATAATTTATTCTTTAATCTTAGAAAAAAATGTATGTACTCAGAGAGGACGAAATAAGTGATGAATAATCAACACATTTGCCTTATTTAAATAATCTACACCTTTTAATCTTGTAATTATCATTTTTTTTTTGAGATATTGCCCATTTATATTGCTTTTTATATCACTTTATTTTTTATTTGTGGTATATTTTATAAAACAAAAAAATGATTTGGTAAAATTACTTTAACCCATTGAAAAGAAACAGTAACATTGTCATAAAAAAAAAAACAGTAACAATAACATAAATAACAAAAATTTAAAAAATGTATGTTTAGTTTGTACCATATAGTTAACTATTTATGTGATGTGGGTAGTTCAAACCTGTGGGAAGCACTGAGCCCATTCGTAAAAGAACACTTTGTGTGACTTACAGTTTTAAAGCATTCATACCTGTCAGACCTGTCAGATCACGGTTTGGAGAAGCATGACAAAAGCATACAAAACAGCATGCAAAAGGGATATTGAAAGAAGTTCAGGTTGATGGTGTTTGTTTACAGTTTGGGCTACCTTTTGTAATTTTCAACCTGAAATTATTAATTAAATGATTTTTTTTTAATCCTGTGCCCTACCCAGATTATAAAAATACATTTAAATCATTTAAATATATCATTACTATCAGAATGTGAGGAGACTTTCAACCAGCACAACAAAAAATGTTTCTGAAGACAATCACCTATTGCACCTTTAATAAATCCTTAATTAAAAAAAAACACCAACCTTGTGCCAGGGCAATGTGTGTCAACACAACATAAGTATCATTACTTACACCATCAAATACGTGTATGTATGTATGTATGTATGTATGTATGTATGTATGTATGTATATGTATATGTGTATATATATATATATATATATATATATGTGTATATATATATATATATATATATATATATATATATATATATATATATATATATATATATATATATATATATATATATATATATATATATTATCACATCCATAATCAGAATTTAACATTTTAAAGTGAGATCTAATACCACAAAATACAGCAATAACAGATGGTGTCAATTCATAGCTTGTAAATGCTTGTGTTGTTGTTATGAATTTAATTAATGTCATTAAAAAAATGATAATTATACAAAGCTCCACCAACACAAAAACTTAAAAAAAAAAAAAAAACTTAAAAAAAAAAAAAAAACTTTGTTCACCTTTTACTTTAACATTACAAATTGCACCTTTACTACTTGAATATGGCGGTTACATTTTTCACTGCTAACTCTAATAAGAATACTTAGTACTGCCCAAAGTAAATGCACACTTTGATGGCCTGATGAGAAAGAGAAAACACTAGCAAAATTAAATAGTTTTTGGTGAACAAATCAGAACTAAAATGTACTTAGTTAGAGCTTCGTATAACTACAGTTAAACCTCTGAAGTCATATGTACGGTGGCCAAGAGGGCTTAAAGCGCTGCAAATTAAAAAAGCACAATTACAAAAACACCAGCAAATAAAAAAACAATCTTCAACAATTTGACAGCACACACTTTGCAAATTCTCACAACAAAAACACTTGAAGAAACGCACAGCAATTGGTCACAACACAAACAACTGAAGAAACGCACAGCAATTGGTCACGACACTTGCAAATATCCACGTAACACAACAGAAATGTTTTAGGGTAACATGACGAACCATATTATGTCATGTAATCAGGATATTAAAATAAACAAAAACCAAATCACTTTTCAAAGACCACTAATACCTTTGTGGAGCAACAGTCGCTGCCTAATAACACATCCATATCTCAGCATGGTCCATCATGGTATTGGGTCCCTTGAAACATTTCTGTCGTGTTACGTTGATATTTGCAAGTTTCATGACTAATTGCTGCGCATTTCTTCAGTTGTTTGTGTTGTGACCAATTTGCAGCACGCTTCATAAGTTGTTTGTGTTGTGAGAATTTGCAATATGTGTGCTGTCAATTTGATGTAGATCGTTTCTTTATTTGCTTGGTTTTTTTTTTTTTTGTATTTGCATGTGCTTTCTTAAATTGCAGCGTGTTAAGATCTTTCGGCCAACGTACATATGCGATGCTTAGAAAATACGTATATCTTTTTTGGACTTCGAATGTCTAGGGACAGCTGTCTATTGACAGGCAGAGAGCTCTTGGATCTCATCTAAAATATATTAGTTTGTGTTTTGAAGATAAACAAAGATCTCAGGGGTATTGGAACAAAATTTTAATTAAAAACAGAATTTTCATTTTTGGGTGAACCAAAACTTTAAAGCATATGACTATTTTTTAATAAACTATAAAATGAACACACACACACACATTTATATATATATATATATATATATATATATATATATATATATATATATATAGACACATACATGTATCTATCTATCTATCTATATATATATATATATATATATATATATATATATATATATATATATATACATATATACATACATACATATACATTCACACACACACACACACACACACACACACACGTAAAAATTCATTAAATAAAACAAGATGAAAAGCGAAGGCACTAGCAAAACAAAACCTATGAAATAATTACACATTAAAACGATGTTATCAAGCAAACCTGCTAGTTTGAAACATTTTAATGCAAGAGTACATTAACATTTTCTGATTCCTATATAATTAGCCTTTTTCATGGCATAGTCAGACAAACAGCGAAAGCAACCAAAACCAAAACTAAGAGATTATTTCAAATTCACAGGTGTGCTCATTTACATTTGATTTGGAGAAAATACGACTAACACTCTTCTCATAATACAAAAACTGTGAGTAAAGCTTTCTAAAATAAGTTATGCAGAGCAGCAAGTGAGTAAGAAAAGACTTGTTTTTACATATTTCATACCTGTTTGGACTGCTCATCAACACAGGTTTGAGCTCACTATCCTCCTCCTCCAGTCCATCACAAAACATCGTGCACCTTGAGGAGATGGAGAGCCCTGGCCCGATTCATTTGCACAGCTCACCTTGTTGCATAATCAAAACATTGAAAGAATGTATTAAACAACCATACACGAAGCGACGTCAAAAGCAAGCAAAGTAATCGACGGATTTTTTGAGCACTTCAGGTCAAGCGTCTGACTCACCAGGATAACATCGAGTCTTCATACAAAGATTTAGCTGCAGTCGATACGCAGGCCTTTATTTAATATTAATAGGTCGATAGTGGATAATCATTCCTCTATGGCGCAGGAAAGAGCAGCAGACGTTCAAAGCAGCAGCACAGAGCCACGGGCAGACATGTTTGATGCGGTGACGCGCACGCCACGCTCAGCGATCATCATGTTACAATAAAAGCCCCCAACACCTGTGAAAAACCACAGTGCTGCCTACTGGAGCGAGGAAACACACATACCACTGGCAGACGACATACGACAGAGGATCTGTGATGACAGTAAATCCAAATTAAGTTGATGGAAAAAAGACACGAAATGTAATCCGCATTTGTGATTTTATAACTTGAATAATGACGTCTGTGAAACCGTGAGTCTGTTTCTGCCCTGTCAAAACAAATACAGTCTAACATTAGATTATCAGACAACGCAGTAGTGTTATAGTATTCTGCTCAGTTAAATTAGATCTATCTATCTATCTATCTATCTATCTATCTATCTATCTATCTATCTATCTATCTATCTATCTATCTATCTATCTATCTATCTATCTATCTATCTATCTATCTATCTACATAACAGATATGTTGTTTGATATATAAATACCCTCACCGGTCACTTTGTTAGATACACCTTACCGGATTGGACCCCTTTTTGCTCTCAGAACTGCCTTAATCCCTCGTGGCATCGATTTAACAGGGTACTGTAAATATTCCTCTGGGATTTTTGTCCAGGGCAACTCAGTGGCGCAGTAGGTAGTGCTGTCACCTCACAGCAAGGTCGCTGGTTCGAGCCTTGGCTGGGTCAGTGGACTTTTCTGTGTGGAGTTTGCATGTTCTCCCTGCGTTCATGTGGGTTTCCTCCGGGTGCTCCGGTTTCCCCCACAGTCCAAAGACATGCGGTACAGGTGAATTGGGTAAGCTAAATTGTTCGTAGTGAATAAGTCTATATGGATGTTTCCCAGGGGTGGGTTGCAGCTGGAAGGGCATCCACTGTGTAAGAAGCATAAGCTAGATAAGTTGGCGGTTGATTCTGCTGTGATGACCCCAGATTTTTAAAGGGACTAAGCCGAAAAGAAAATGAATAAATGACTTTGGTCCGTATTGACATGACAGCATCACGCAGTTGCTGCAGATTTGCCGGCTGCACATCCATGACGCAAATCTCTGTTCCACCACATCCCAAAGGTGCTCTATTGGATTGATCTCTGGTGAGTGTGGAGGCCATTTGAGTACAGTGAACTGATTATCATGGTCAATAAACCAGTCTGAGATGATTCGCGCTTATGACATTGTGCGTGCTGCTGGAAGTAGCCATCAGAAGATGGTTACACTGTGGTCATAAAGGGATGGACATGGTCAGCAACAATACTCTGGTAGGCTGTGGCATTGACACGATGCTCAATTGGTACTAATGGACCCAAAGTGTGCCAAGAAAATATCCGCCACACCATTACACCACCATCACCAGCCTGAACAGTTGATGGACAGATACATGCTTTCATGTTGTTGACGCCTAATTCTGACCCTACCATCCAAATATCGCAGCAGGAATCGAGACTCATCAGACCACGCTTCTATTGTCCAATTTTGGTGTGCCTGTGCGAATTGTAGCCTCAGTTTCCTGTTCGTCGCTGACAGGAATGGCACCCGGTGTGGTCTTCTGCTGCTGTAGCCCATCCACCTTAAGGTTTGGATGTGTTGTGTGTTCAGAATTGCTCTTCTGCATTTCTCGGTTGTAAAGAGTGATTATTTGAGTTACTGTTGTCTTTCTATCAGCTGAAACCAGTCTGGCCATTCTCCTCTGACCTCCGGCAACAACAAGGCATTTGGGCCCACAAAACCTCCACTCACTAGATATTTTCTATTTTTCAGACCATTCTCTGTAAACCCTAGAGATGGAAATGAACCCTATATGTTAGTAGATAAGTATAGTATATACAGAGTACAAACATTTTGTGTGTGCAAATCATCTCTCTCTCTCTCTCTCTACTATTATGTACTAACAAAAAAAACAAAACAAATAAAACTGAATAAAACCACACAATTTAAATTGAGATTTATATGTCATTAAATGTTTCTGTAATCTGTATTCTTTGACATGATGTGGAACATGCATAATGAAACACGGACACAGTGCTTGATATTGTAATCAATCAATATTTGCTTTATTGAGAAACTAGGAGACATTCTTGTTCAACAAGAAGAGCATTGCAAACGTTTTATTTCACTGAACTCACCAAACTCGCGTTAACTCAAGTTTTATTAGTCACAGCTTTCAAACCATGATGGTACGCCATGTCTGCTCCTGAAGTCAAGCTGAAAGAGATTTTATTTGAACATGCAGCAGTGTGCGGTACATGCAGGGTCACTGCCAATGAGAACTTGACAATAACAACACAACACAAAAAAAAGATGTGGAATTCTGTGCAAAACGACATAACATTACAATCCTGTTACTGAATTGCTCTTGAACCCAAGACGGCTGGGCAAGAGCATCAGGCATTTGGCTAAATGAATCTCGAAGACATAATTATATTGTGTCTGTATACAGTTCCTCCATTGCCCTAAAGTACTCCCACAACTAAAAGACCCCTGAAGCAAGGAAGCAAGGCAATGACACATAAAAAAGTAAGCTAAAATCTTGACAAACAACACACACAGTATACACTCATTATAAGCACCATAAATTTAACATCTATGCTGTAGATTCAACCATCCCATTTTAACATCCCATACAAACGTCACTATATATATATATATATATATAATACAACAAACTAATATGAAGTAATAATACACATTAATAATATTATTATAAAAGAGTCGAGCGATCAAAGAGCCCTTGCAAAGTGATAATGTTAAGACTTTATCGTATAATTCTTTTAAAACAATGACCCTTATACACCTAAAACTGAAAGTTCTGTCATCATTTAAGCACCATTCACTTGTCAAAAACCTGTTTGAGTTTTCTGTTGAACACAAAAGATGATATTTTGAAAATTGTAGAAAACCGGTAACCGGTAACCATTGACTTACATGGTCTATGTTTTTCCTACTAGACGTCAATGGTTACAGGTTTCTAACATTCTTCAAAATATCTTTTTTTTTTTTTTAGCTCAACAGAAAAAAAGAAACTCCAAAAGGTTTGGAAGCACTTGAGAGTGCTTAAATAGTGAGTAAATTTTCCTTTTGAGTGAATGATTCCTTTAAGTGTTTTTTTTTTTTTTTTTTTTTTGAGTTTGCCAATACTTATTTTTATGGTAACACTTTACTATAAAGTTCATTAGTTAATGCATTTACTAACATAAATTAATCCAGAACAACACATGTAAAGCATTTATTAATCCTAATTGAACATTTACTAATGCATTTTTAACATCCAAGTCCATGCTTGTTAACATTAGTTAATGCACCGTGAGTTAACATGAACTAATAATAAACTACTGTATTTTCATTAACTATTGTTAACTAACATGAATACATACAGTAGTAAATGTATTGTTCATTGTTTGTTCATCTTAGTAAATGCATAAATTAACATTAACTAATGAACCTTATTGTAAAGTGTGACCATTTTTATTGCTTTGTCCTTTTTTTTTTTTTTTTTTTTGTAGCCTTAAAAATACAAAATTCTAAAGGTACACAATGCTTTTCACACTGTGCTTAGCATCGGTTTATTGTCATTCTAATCACCATACTTTAAACCCTTGGTAAATAAACATTTCACAAGTAATTTAGAAGCAGGTGAGCACTGCTTTTTACCTGAAATTATTAAACTCTGCAATGGATTAGTCCTAGCATCACTTTTGCACTCTCAATCCCACATTAAGGCTTTTTACACTTGAACTAGTTAACCCTGGATATATGTAAACCCCGGGTCAAGAAAAAACTTATTTATCTTGCTTCACTTTTCACACTGTTATAATAAACCTTAAGATAATATTAAATCCCGATTATTTATATGACGATTCAAACTGCACTGTCCTGAAAATAATACTTCTCAAAAATATTCTTAAAGTTAGGTTTTGTGGTTCTTTCCACTGTGGCGACCCCTGGTAAATCAGGGACAAAGCTTTAAAAAAATGAATGAATGAAGTTGATTTATGCAACAATGTCATCATTGGTTTCCCAAAGGACCTTTCAGTCAATGGTTTGTCAAAATACCATTTATTTTCTAATATATATATATAGTGTTTCGTGTCATAGAAAAGATTAATTAAACTGTTGGTCTCTTTATTTTCAAATAAGTACACTTGCAAATCTTTTGGCCTCCATATTTGCGGTACTCTTTGACTGGAAAAATTAAGCACAAAAGCTGAATATACTGTATATTGTCCAAATCACTGTTAAATGAGACACATGTTTGGCTGCCGGTTGTTTCGAGACAAAACATTTTAATACTGCATTGTTTTAAAGCTCCGCAATGCAGGGTTAACAGCACAAAAGAGGCGCTGATGCTGCACCGTCTCATAATCCAGGATAAAAAGCAGTGCCAAGTCTGATTGTAAATCACAAGAGGAATATTTCTCTCCCTTCATGTAAGCGAATTGCATGTTCCATTCATCCAGTCAGTGAATGCTAATACTGTATGCCTGCAAGGATGTTAACCTGGGGGTTTCAAATTATACAGTGTGAAAGCTATACCCAGGATTAAATTTAACACAGGGTTAAAGAGATAGTTTACTTGAAAAAAGACAATTTACTCATTATTTAATCTCCCTCAAATGGTTCCAAAAATGTATGAGTTTCTCTTTTCTGTTAGACACAAAAGATGATATTTTGAATTATAGAAACTAGTAACCACTGACTTCTATAGCAGGAAAACAAATAGAATGGAAGTCAGTTGTTACTGGCTTCCAACATTTTTCTAAATATCTTCATTGTGTTCAAGCGAATGAGTAAATGATGACAAAGTTTTAATTCTGAGGGAACTATACATACTAGTTCAAGAGAAAAGCCTTGGTAAAAACTATGTGAAATCTCTTTGTTGACACGGTTTTGGTCCTCATACTAATTTGTGTCTGATTTATTTCAATTCCAGCATTAATATTTATTCACAAATCAATCATCCTCTATTTTTTATAGTTTCCAAACTGAATGGCCAGTCGGTCAGCAACACAGCGGAAGGTGGCAGGCTGCACTTCCCAATAGTTCACCGGGTTTCCGTAGAGGCTGATGCCATGGTAGAAGTTCCTTTTCATGCCAAAACCTTGAGGGCAGAAGTCATTGACATCCACTTGACTGATGTTGTTGGAATGAAGGTAAGCCACCTGTAAATAAAGCAAACAAAAAATCAATAACTGCCCATGTGCGAACGGGATTCTTTTTGTTCAGCGGCTTGATATCTGGCACCTGCAGGTACTTCATGTCTGGCAGGCCCTTCGGGACGCGGGTCAGACGGTTGTTTTCCAAATGCAACTCCCTCAGATTAGAGACGTATGATAGGCTGCCATTCTCAATCATGCGGATCTGGTTGAAACCCAGACCCAATCTGGCAAACAAGGACAAACACAACAATGAATAAGCAAAAGACAAAAGACAGGCTGCACACGTTGTGACAGACATCTAGTGAGGTGGAAACACAATAGACTGGAAAAACTGTGAACAGGCACTGGGTCAAATGAGGCCTGCAGGACAAACTGCTCGAAAAAAGAAATCCAGCACATGCAGGATCTTTTATTTTCAACAGGTTTTGCGTGACACAAATTCCAGGGTTATTCTTCACTGAAAAAAAGTCACAGTTTTCTTTGCTTTGTATATTGGGTTTCGATTTCTGTGTTGGTTTCAAAAGCACATGTGTTTTTTTATTTTAATAATATTTTTATATAGTTTTTGTCTCATATATTCCAAGTAAGATTCAGGAGTAATTTAATTACTGTATAATTCAACATCACAAAATGCAGAATGAAATTACATTGCATCTGTATATTCGGTACACGCACAAATAAATGGATTCTGGGCTATAAAGCCAGTGTTATGTTGCCAAAAACATAGTGGGCTTCAGACTCTTATGCTATGCTTGTCGGATGTGAAAGTCTGATTGACTTTGATCTTTGTAGATTTTAATAGGAGTAAGACTGAAATAATTCTGTTCAGCCCGTCAAACTCTTCTGGAGCCCCGATAGTTTTTCTATAAAGCCCTGGGTAAAAAATCTGGGTGTTATTCTGGAAGATGGCTTGAGCATTGACAAACGGATAAATGCAGTGGTTAAATCCTGCTTCTTTCAGCTACGACTCATAAAAACTGTTAAATCTATTCGATCTAGAAATTTTTTTTTAAAAATAATTCAATTATTACCACTATGTTAGACTATTGTAACTCACTATTCTGTGGGATTAGTCAGAAAAAAATCCTGTTTACAATGAGTTCAAAATGCTGCTGCAAGGCTTTTAGCAGGTACCAAGAAACTTGAGCACATTACCTCAGTTTTACGCTCGTTGCACCGGTTGCCCGAGTCACTTTTAAAATTCTTCTTCTGGTTTTTTAATCTCTAAATGGTCTGGCACCTTCTTGTCTGTCAGACATGTTGATTGAGCATCAGCCTGGTTGGATTCTTCGGTCATCTAACCAGAGATTGTTATGCATCCCTAAGTCGAGGCTTATTCTGTGCCTGATTACTGTGCCTTCGCAATAGCTGGTCCTATAGGTTGTGGAATGCTCTGCCCCTCGGTAAAATTGTCTGTTTTAGCTATTATTTTATAATTTTATATTTTTCTTTGTTGTGATGTGTATTGTGCAGCACATTGGTCAACCTCTGGTTGTGTTTAATAGTGCTATATGAACAAAATTGACATTGATAAAAATTGCCAAGAATACATTTTATGAGACAATAATTTTCTTTTATGCCAAAAATCATTTGTAAATTAAGTAGAGCTTGTGTTCTATAAAGAAATTTGGTAAATTTCCAACTCTAAGTATATGGAAACTCAATTTTTGATTAGTAATGCACACTGCTAAGCACTTCATTTAGTCAACTTTAAAGGCAAATTTCTCAATATTTACATTTCTATTGAACCCTCAGATTTCAGATTTTAAAATAGTTCCATCTCAGCCAAATATTTTCCTATCCAAACAAACCAAACATCACATCAGCAGAAAAGTATTTTTACAGTCAATTTTTCTGTGAAAGTATGTATGTAAAATCTTATATTGTTGTCATTGCCGTATTCTAGGCTAAAAGATGGAACCATTCTAAAAGATGTAAAAAACACACAGGGACTGCCAGCCAGTATTGAAGAAAACACGACACAGCGAGTTGTAACAGGGTGTTACAATTAAGCACACTTTGTTTAACACCAATTAAACAGACAAAATCAATTTTGAATTTTAAGTGTAATGATGAGAACGTTTTAATTAAAAATGTTTTAATAGAAGATATATTTTTAATAGATTTTTTTATTGCTAATAATACAAATAAATGCATTGTATAATAATAGAAAATAATGCAAATACATCCAAATGAGTTTATCCAAAAGATAAATAAATAAACATGCTGTACTATGTAGAATAAAATAATTGAGTTAAGTATTGAGGGAATATACTATTTAAAATAAACTGAATGTGGTAAATTTGACTATATAAGCACGTGTTACAACCAACCCTCTGCTTTTTAATGCAGCTCTTTATTTAAACAAAAGAGTTTTCACGAAACAGATTTTGAGGTGGCTGTTATGCACTGTATGGCTATCTGTGTTAACCTAGGACATTTAAATATAACTTTATTACATATAAGAGTTTCATATAAAGCAAATGCTGTGTCAAACTGAAAATATCATAAGCATGCTCTATTTTTATCCCCACATAATTTAGCTTTTATACACCAGGTGGCGCTGTTGCTTTATAGAGAGCCTGACAGGAAAAAAAAAAGCAAGCTGTATGTTTAGAGAAATGAGGTGCCTCACCTGTACAGGTGTTTGTAGCGTCTCAAGTCCTCCAGTTCAATGGCTTGGATCTGGTTGTTGTCCAAGTGGAGCTCATGAAGACTGTCAGGGAGATCTAAGAGAGGGACATTCATCATTAGATAATTGGAAGTAGCACCACGTCTCTGCTCTTAATATGATATTAAAACACGCAAATTGTGATTTATTACAGATCATATAAAACTCATTCAAGTGAGAAATTACATAGTGCTATCCAAAAAATAATTTCTGAAAAGTCTTTTAGCTGACAAACTTTCAGTATTAAATGACATTAAAGTGATGATTCACCCAAAATTAAAACGTGCAGTTTATTTGAGATGGGTCTGGATGCAGACCTGGTGCATTGCAATCTGAGCTGCATCCAATGCTTCTTAATGCGCTCACCTAACCCTACCCCTCACAGTGACATCACTCACCTCCATTGAGTGCATTGTGTCTGACATTGCATCGCTGAGTGATGCAATTTCAGCTTGCATCATAAAGGCTGCATCCAGATACTATTGGTTTATTTACTCACTCTTAGACCATTTGTAATGTAGGTGACTTTTATTTGTCAGTAGAACATTACAGTACATTTTTAGCCGAAACCAAGGTCAATGATTACTGACACTATGAGAGTCAAAACAAACCCATATACAGGCATTACAAAATTATTACTAGTGGCTGCTGATGATGCATTGAGGTTTTATTAAGCAAAATACCCAGTCAGTGCAACATTATAACATTATAACCTTATAAAAACAGTCCTGAGCATGTTTATTACAGTTTGGAGATTGGTTTTCTTGTTGTGCAGCATCCACACTCCAGACTGTCATGAACATGCTCAGAACCGTTTGCTGAGGCTGTGGATACAAGCTTTTACATGTAACTTATAAATACTCCTGCTGTCCCCTCTGCATGAGTTTTTTTTTATTTGACCGACAATTAGAACATTCATTCGTTCGTTCGTTCGTTCGTTCGTTCGTTCGTTCGTTCATTCATTCATTCATTCATTCATTCATTTTTTCATTCATTCATTCATTCATTTTCTTTTTGGCTTAGTCCCTTAATTAAACAGGGGTTGCCACAGTGGAAAGAACTGCCAACTATCCAGCAAATGTTTTATGCAGCTGATGCCCTTCTAGCTGTAACCCATCACTGGGAAACACCCACACACACTCATTCACACATATACACTATGGTCAGTTTTAGCTTACCCAATTAATCTATAGCGCATGTCTTTGAACTTGTGGGGGAAACCGGAAAACCCGGAGGAAACCCGCGCCAACATGGAGAGAACATGCAAACTCTAAACAGAAATGCCAACTGACCCAGCCGAGGCTTGAACCTTGAGTCTGCAGCCAGACCCCTGTCTCCCATAACATTTTCGCTAAATTATAATTAAACTTGACAAGACTGACAGAGATGTATTGTGCATTGTATTTTTTGCTATTTCTGCAGAGAATTTTGGCATAAATCTGCAATTTCTGCAGAATTATTTTGGGAGTATCATAACTAAAACCTTAATATGTGAAATAAAAAATACACCTTGTATTTAATAACTTGTATTTAATGTTTACAATGCAAATCCAATTAGATTCACTTTATTTGGTAAACAAAGCAAGTCTCTCATATAATATCTCTACAAAAAGACAGAAAATATTACTTTACAAACTGTATTGTACATAAATCAGATGAACATTTTCATATTAGTCAATAATATTACTGTAATTAATTAAAAAACGTAATAAATTTAGATTTACACAAATTTGCTCAAGTAAATAAACAGAATTTATGATGGGCTAAAAATCTGTGAAAAATCTGTGTAATTCTGTCCACACAGATTCCGTGTGGGCCTACTCATGAGTCACACAGCAGTCTGTTTTGTTTTCTGATAAGCCTATATTTCATCAGATGAAATATATTCACATGAAAACAGGGAAAGAATGATGTTTGACGTTCATGGTACACCAATTTTCATATACTGATCTTTTTTTTAGCTTGATATGTTTTTTTCAGGCGAAGCAGTGGCACAGTAGGTTGTGCTGTCATCTCACAGCAAGAAGGTCGCTGAGTCGCTGGTTCGAGCCTCGGCTCAGTTGGCGTTTCTGTGTAGAGTTTGCATGTTCTCCCTGCGTTCACGTGGGTTTCCTCCGGGTGCTCCGGTTTCCCCCACAGTCCAAAGACATGCGGTACAGGTGAATTGGGTAAGCTAAATTGTCCGTTAGTGTATGAGTGTGAATGTGTATTTGGATGTTTCCCAGAGAGGGGTTGCGGCTGGAAGGGCATCCGCTGCGTAAAAACTTCATTCATACATTTATGCCGCTGTGGCGACCCCGGATTAATAAAGGGTCTAAGCCAACTAGAAAATGAATGAATGAATGTTTTTTCAATCTCAAACTGATGGTAGCTGTTGACCTACAATTTCACATTTTCCAAAGACCACAGATTCATAAAAAAAGCTAAAAAAAACACATCTTCACATCTACACATTTTTTGTTTGACCTATGCCTTTAGTTATTATTGCAAAAATCACCTTTCGGTATTCCAGTGAGTTTGGCCTCAGAGACGCGCAGGTAGTTGAGTTTCAGGCCTTTAAAAGCGCCAGGCTCAAAGCCACTGTTCTGAATAGGGTTTCCGCCCATCTCTATAAGAAGCATTCAACATCAGACAGAATATCCCATCACAAAAACCAGCAGGCTCCATCTAAAAAAGGAAATGGTTTGGTCAGATTGTAACCTCTATACCACATAATGGCGAGCGTGCATACAAACCAATGCAGTTCATGCTGCCCAGACCAGAAAACGTTCCTTCTGCAACCTTCTTAATACGGTTGTCATGAATGCGCAGCTCCACCAGAGATGGGGGAAGGTTTTTGGGTACCACTGTCAGGAGGTTATGGGAAAAATAAAGCTTTTTCAGATGTCGGAGGGGTGTGAAGACTCGTGGGTGGACTTTGGAGATCTTGTTGTTGACCAGTGACAGGGCCTGACGGGAAACAGGAAAAGACACTAACATTTGGAAACTCATAAAGAAATGATTAATAATAGCTCGACTGTGCGAATTAAATATGTACACACAATCAAACGGCTTATAAATGATGTTTTAACTTGATGTCTTGTTTCTTTTTTTTTTCCTTTTGCAGGCCATGTCAAATATTGTGTTTGGTGAGAGAGGCTGAATAAATATTAGGGATAAATATTGGGGATAATATGAGTTCTAAGAAAGGAACTAAAACATTCAGTTTGGCACCGGCGTGTGTTTCCAGAACTACAGGAACATTCTTCTTCAGAGACTCGAACTGTTTGAACATCCTGTCGGGCTGTTTCGCACAGTGCCAAACGTAAAGTAAAGCTCATGGCGAATGCCAGACCAATTTTTCAGGAGTTAGCCAAAACACGCTTTAAAGAAGCCTGTCTCGGTAATTCTTATGTAAAATAAAACTTGTAAATATTAATGTTAAGATGAATGTACAGCCAAATCATGTCCATGTTCATCAGCCAATAAAGACTCAAGCTGTAAAACTGGCACGCATCAACAGACAGCAAAGGAAATCATCCATAAGGTTATAAAACGATAAACTGTCTCTTGAATAATCAGTCACAGATTTATGAAACTATTTTAGTGGCACTGTACTTTACATTCAGAGTCATCTATCTTCATTCTCCCATTTATCTTACAATTAACAAATTCATTACTTTTCTTTAAGTGACCTTCTCTGATTTATGTTTCTTGAGTCAATATAAATGTCTTACGTAGAGGTTTGTGAGCCCTTTGAAGTCGTTCTCCTTCAGTTCTGTGATGCAGTTGTTCTGTAGGTCCAGGAGTTTGGTGTCTCTGGGAATCTCCTTGGGCACTGCGATTAAACCTAAACAGGAAGATGAAATGTTTACATGCTAATGTAAAGCTTTTAGAAAATACAGATTTGTGTACAAGTCTCCGAACAGAGAGACCCTTAGCTCGACATCTGGTCTGGATTTCTCCTAAAGACTGAATCTGAAAAAATAACTGAACTAAACGGTGTACACAACTATAAATCTTAACCAATAAAGAGTGTTTATGACAAGATATTTAATCACACATGAGTTCCTTTGGCCATTTGTGCTTAATGGTCATTGACTATGTTCAAATTATGAGTTCTTATGAAAACATTACAGAAAATAATCTATTACATCTGAAGGACAATGTTTTGTCAATGTTAACTTCTTGATGACATTATAAGTGAACATCAGAGAGCACTACAACCTTGTAAAAAGGCAGTTCATGACCTCTTTAATCACACTAATACTACTCGACCAAAGTGAGCTTGTGCTCACTCAAGTGTATGAATTAGCTCTTTGACATTGTTCTGATTGGCTGGAGTACCTGTCTCACGTCAGCAAGTTCTAAGCGTGAACACGCTCGGCAATTTTTCTTCTGCGTTCACACAGCACAACATTCTGGCAAATTACCGGTAATGTTACAACTTCTTTTTCCGGGAAATTGCTGGAATGAATTTAACGTTTTTTTTAAAAAGGGCCTGTTCACACATACAAATGCGTAGTAATGTATGTGGTAAAGGTCTGTATGTGTGAAAGGGGCTATTGTTAATGTATTTGCACATGTGCATTAGCTGCAGGTGTATCTTTATATTAGTGTGACCTAAAGATGTTCGGTCAAAACTTTTAAAACCATTTGAGTTCTTTTGCTAATCATTGACTACATCACAAAACTCCAAGACAACCACATCTAGAGCACAAATCCAGTATTGTGTTTTAGCGATGCAGAGTTCAAAACTCTAAATCAGGCCAATGATTCATGATGATTTCCAGCAGAGCCCAATAATTTACACTAGGCTGGGTTCAACCTCTACAACCATTTATAATGCTCTTCACAACCACAACTGCCATGCTGTCTTGCTTCACTCTGAAGTAAAAAATTATTATTTCATTAAAAAATCATTCATTAAAGGAATGATTGCATTTATTAATGAAAACTATAGTTCATTATGTGATTGATTTGTTATTTTATCTAACAAATGATACAGAATTTATATTTTAATTTAGGCATTAAATAGAACAGCTTTAACAGTATTATTAACAACAAAGAGGTCCAAACAAGATCAAATATTACATAACAACAGCACCAAAGCCTTACGCGCAGCACACTTTATTTTAAAACTGAATTTTGAAGAATTCAAATCATTTATGAGGTGCATTGTGTAACCCATTAGTTCTATGTTTCCAGCATGCAGGCAGGCACACTAATAAGGGCTTTTGTTAGCACACCTCTTAACACTGGACCAACCAGAATTATGTACTGTAGCTACTAGATTGGCCATTTCAGTCATTCTGTGACTGTTCTCACACTGTAAAAAATGCAGTGAATTCATTAAGGTTCTCCCAACACAAATCAATTAAGCTAACTTAAATTTAAGTCGATTGAACATAAAACAATTCAGTTGTCCCAGACAAATCTCAAGAATTGTTGTTTTGGCTCATTTTAAATTAGTAGTTTGCACAAGCAGTGAAAACATTTTTTGAATGCATACAAGACGTCATATTGTCTCTTCACATTTAAATTCAAAGTTTCTTTTGAGATTTTAAAATTAAGCTTTGAGAGTCTGTCCTACATTTTAAAGTCATTATACAATCTTTTGGGTAATATAGCCTATAATGATGTAAAAGTCACTAGATTGCCTGCAAAGGTACTTTTCTCCAACACAGGTTCTTTATCAATATGGCAAACTTAAGTCGCAGTGAGGAGTTGACCACGACAACAGGGTTTGAGTTCATAAAAGAACGGTTCCAGAAAGCAGGTAAAACAAAAACAAAAGGCAAAAAATTAAATAAAGAATTAAATAACAGGGTGAGAACATGGTAAGATCAAAAAATCTGGCAAAAAAGCAGGTGACCCTAAAGACTTTTATTTTTCTGGATTGCTTTAAAAAACACTGTGGGTTGAGTTTGGGGAAAGTGGTTGGCAGGTCAATCTGTGCTTTTGAAAATACTATCGGTTGGGTTTAGGAAAGGAGGCGGTTGGGGTATCCGGGAATTCAGTCGGTCAATCATCAACAGCAGTGGCAAGAAGATCAGGCATCAATGAACTCGCAAGCAAAATTTGAGATCTGAAAAAGTGTACACAGCACACTCTGATGGATTTATGTGAGGAGAGCAGGTGCAAATGGAACTCCCAAGAGAAATCTGAGATCTGAACAAGTGTACACAGCAACTTCTGGTGGATTCGTGAAAACAAAAACTGCAAAACAACATACCTCCTGGGACATATTTCATGCTCTCCAGAAATATATACAGGAGAACGTATCCATAATGTGCCTGGGTTGCTTTTTTTTAGTGCACTGAATATGTTGTTTTGAAAGACATGTTTAAAGTTTGTGCTATCAGAAAGTTTCTAGTCAACAGAGGTGTGCATGTTCAAAGACAAGGGTCAATTTGACTGTTATTGTCATTCAAAACTCTTTTGTGTTTTGTAATTTTAATAAAATAACAAATATTAGAAAGAAAAATGCACACGTTATTTAAATACAAAATTTAAAAGTCTAAATAACTGACTCTGTAGTTCTAGTGCTAATGCCAGGTGAGTGATGTTTACCAGCTTTTACTAGCTGACCTTGGGATACACTTGCTTACTCCTATCCGGGTCACGCCACTAATATAACCTCTGTGGATGTACTCGTCCCTTTCCAATTGGATTCTGACATGGAAAGCTGGCACACTAACATGGACTCTAAAGTCTGCAGCCTCCAGCATCAATCACGTGTACACCTCTTGAGGCCTGGGGAGTGAGGTTTTATCCAGACAGTTTCTCCTAAATGCCCATTACACTTGCATCACCACAAAAACAAAGTTAATTTTCATGCATTTCAAGCCAAGATCCAGTTTCCTTTTTTCTTCTTTCAAGCCATTTGGCCACCTGCTACTCAAACTAACAAGCACACAGTGACTTTACCCAAAAAAACCAAACCCCCTAGAGTAAATCTGGGTTTCAACGGCTGCCCAGAACATCACAGACCCCAACCACAGATTTGCAATCCTAATAGTAAATGTTTTATGATGAAGGCACATGACCACCTAAATATATACATAATTCTGAACATCTGTTATGAATATACATCACCATCAATTCAATTACAGCCTACATCATGGAATAACTTCCAGATTTGTAAAAAAAAAATTTTAAAAATTAGAGAGCGGAGTGGACGGATCAATGTGTTACAAGGAAATCTTCATCACAGTGGGAGGAAGCATAAGGAATCGCCAAAACCAAGGGCTGTATTTTCCGATTTTATATCAAATCCACAAGCATAAACAAAGATGCTATGACATTTACAAAAACAAAAACACTTGCAAGGACCAAAACACATGGCATAGAGCATTCATGCACATATGCAAACACATTTAGACACGCACAAACAAAAAAGGAATGCATATAATTAAAATAATAAGCTCAGAATTCCTACATTATTGTTGCTTCTGTCAGTTCAATGGCTGTAAATGTTCTGTGAGGATCATAACTTGGACAAACTTGGCTGGAGAAAGAAAGAATGTCAGGATTCATAAGCATGAGTACAGACTACAGCGGCACTTTAGTAGCTGCTTTTGGTGCCATGTAAAAAAAATTTTAATAAAAATCTACAGTAACCCGCCAATTGTTGTCTGGAATATAACGCTTCAACCAAATTCTTAAGCCTTCATCTAGCCCAGGTCTTCTCACTTTCCCACATACTTTTCCCACTGCTGTTTGAGTGTACACACAAGCAATGTGGTTGGTTGGTTTGTTTTGTGTTTATACAATTCTTTTATATGTTTGCTCGTTCACAGATTACTGAAAAGCCTAATTATTTTGCATGACAAATGTTCCTACATAATGAGGTTAAAGGGTTTCTAAGAGATACGTTAGAAGTAATACTTATCATTTCATTGTAATTCTGTTGTTTCATACACATGGAAAAGAAAGTGAGAGCATCTTGAAGCAATAGCAATGAAATGAAGTGACCCCAGTCAAAGCTCTCCATTTTTAGGCCCAAATGACCACTTTGTTGGATGTTCTGCTGACAGGACGTATCTCAAAACTATTTCCAGCCATTTTAAAAAAAACCATCTCATCAAAGACTTTCAAACCTTCCCTTTCTATCTCTAACACTGTCTTCCCATAAAACATCCTGTGTGTGTGTCATAAAAACAACACAGAACCACTCCTACAGTTCAACAGGAAATTGCACGGGTTTCTTTTTTCATTGTTTCCAATTTAGGCTCCAGTTTTCTTTGAGACTTCGAGTTGGTTATTTTTGCCTGATTGAAAGTGAGTTGTCTACAATATGGAACTGAACCTAACTACAGGTCTTCAGTCTAGCTTTGAATCTGTTCATTTGGATAATTAATTGTATAGTAAATGTAAATATCATTAATGATAAAAGCCCACGCTCTATCTCTCCAATAAAAAAGGTTACCATAAACATCACTGCACAATGCTAATGAACATGCACAATATACTGACACTGAGCAGAAGAAATGGTCCCACTTTATACTGTATTAAAGGAGAAAATTAAGCACTCAGTCAAGTTTACATTATATTGGTTTTGTCATATCCTGTTTTGTCATGTGATCTTTCCCCATGTTTTCATTCTCCATGTGTGTTTGTTTTTATCATGTGACTCCTTTGTTCCAGTTCCCGCCATTTGGTAATGCTCATTATTTCCACTTGTGTCTCACAACTGTATACAATCAGTTCCATCAGCCTCTGTGTATTTATATCCCTTAGTTTGGTTTAGTCTTTGTCCGGTATTCTCTCAGTTGTGTCTTGTCGTCACCCCTTGTCGTTCCTGTGTCTCCTGTTTTATTGATGTCCTTCCAAGTGATTGTTTGCAAATAAATCTACATGTTTTGGTAAATCCTGCAATCTTTTTTGCCTTCCTGAGTGAGTCAAGGCATTACATAATAGCGAAGCTGAAATACAGAACAGTACAGCGTGGTCTACTCTATTCCAAGATGGTGGCACCCTAGGTCTAAACGCTATAGTAAAACATGCCGTTTTCTGCTAAATGGTACATTAATCGAGTTTGTTTAATATATTTTCATTAAAAAGGGATCCAATGTACAAAATAATGTAAACTTGACTGAGTGCTTCATTTCCCCTTTAAGTTGCCTTAACTATTAATTACTTTACATCAAAATATAAATACAGATACTCCAACAGAGTTGCCGAAGTCATAGACGGCAGGCGGCCAAACAACATAAACAGTAAACAAAACAAGGAGTCAGAAACATGGCAAGACAACACAGGAAATGCTAAGGTTATGCTCACTAGAGATACAAGACTCAGCATTGGATATTAGAGTGTGTGGTGTATATATAGTCCCAATAAGTATTAATGACAAGCTTCATCTGTGTGTGTGTGTGTGTGTGTGTGTGTGTGTGTGTGTGTGTGTGTGTGTGTGTGTGTGTGTGTGTGTGTGTGTGTGTGTGTGTGTGTGTGTGTAATCAAACGGTGATCAGAAACTGGTGTGTGAGTGCAGTGCGTGATGTGATATGTAGCTCAGTAGAATAGCAGGGAGTGTTCTCCAGAAGCCTGCAAGGGCAACACTGCTGGTGATCGTAGCATTAATTACACATGCAATTACACATGCAGGCATCAATCATATATACTATGCAAAATCATATAGTAATACAAAAAGTACATTGTAACAAATGATACATTTTAGTGTAAGTACAAATTAGATAAGGTTAAAGGTTCAAGTCTACCTTAGAATTTAAAAAAAATGCACCATAATGGGCCTGGAGCTCCACGATCAGAGGCAGGAGTGGGCGTAGCCAGCAGAGCAGGGGAGAAGGAGGGGAGTAAACAACTGTTTTAAGCCGACTCACAAAATGAAAAACAAACTGTGAAAAGACACATGATTTTATAGTTTACAAAGTTATAATGCAAAGAAATAAACAGTAATTTAATGCTCTGCTACATACGTTATTCGTAATTTCATACACACAATCACAATTTATACAATTGTAAAGATAATCGTGTTTATATAAACAATAAGGGCTCTATTTTGATGGTCCATGCGCAAAACGCAGGGCGTAAATGCTTTCAGGGCGTGTCAGGACGCGTTTTTGCTAATTTAAGGACGGGAAATCTGCCTTGCACTTCGGCGCATGGTCTAAAAGGGTTGAGTTTAATTTCTTAATGAGTTATAGGTGAGAATAAACCAATTATAGTCTCATCTCCCATTACCTTTAAGAGTCAGCTGCGTCGTGCCAAGAGCGCATTCGCTATTTACAGGATGTAAAGTAAGTCTAAGTGGAAAAAATGAGCATTTCACTTGTAAACAGTTAACAGTTAACAGTTTTTTTTAAAAGAAAACTGTTAAACAGAGCATCTACTGCATGAGAATGCTTTCACTTTCGCTCTTGGATAGGGAAACCTTTACGCACAGACATCAATAAGTCTATAAATAAATACTTTTGTTTGTTAAGCGCAAATATTTGTTTCAAAACTATTTCTAAATTCAGTTCTAATGTCCAGCAAACAAATAAATTAATAATAATAGCAAAACATGCTCAAAAACCTGAGTTATATCCTAAAACACATGATTTGCCCCATATGGTCTAAAACCTGACAGGTGGGCAAATCTAAGCTTGTTTTTAATTAAACAGATATAAATATGGATATAACAAATAATACTGCGAATAATAATAACATTATACAAAAGCAAATTGTTATGAATGAACTTAAAAAGCCACCCGAGATGAAGAAGACATAAAAGCAGTGTTTTTTTATATTTATGTAGGCTAGAAAATAATATGTTTTGTAATATTTCAATCCTTTATATTTATATTCTATATCTATTCTTATTATATCTTATATATATCCTTAATATTTACATTTTTTCATATGTAAAGATATTTGCCTATTGCTCTCTTGTGCGTATTAAGCAGTGCGTAAGCGAGGCGCAACTCTGCGCCGGAGTTTAGACCGGGTTAGTTTTGGTCTAATGAAAAATCTATTATAGTTTTTCAAAATAGCAACGCGCCAGCAGTCCGCCTCAGAACGCCTTCCTTTTTAGACCAGAACGCCTATGGGCGCAAAAATGAGCGCTAATGCATTTGCTATTTAAACAGTGTAGCGCAACGCCTCAAAATGACTCTTGCGCCAAGCTGAAACTACCAAAAGACTACTGCGTCACGCCTTGCGCCACACTGCGCCGGGTGTATGATAGGGCCCTAAATGAGGACTTGTCCCTAAATATCCGGGTCTGAATGCAGACTCAGTGAAGCAGGTCTCTTGCCCTGTCTATTTAAACCATTAGCCCTGCTGGTAATTTGGGGGATTTAGGCAAACACAGCAGCATGGCGAAGTGTCGAAATGTGAACAAACTCCTGATATAAGACAAAGTCCGCCATTCTCCAATTCTCATACTGCTCTCCCGACAAAAATGCTTGCTGCACACAAACAACTTTGCTGTATCGGCACTGACAGCATCGCAGGGAAAAACATGCAACAAATCCCGTAGATCATTGAAACAAACACATAAGACCTTTCATGAAAGGCTAAATACTGTGTGCTGTGGGTCCGTGGACGCGGTTTCACCCAGTCTTCAAGGTAGGATCTCACAGCTTGGCACTGGCAGGCCTGCCTTGCCTTCGGAAAGCACGCGCAGTCATGAATAATTAAGAAGCCGGCTCTTCTCATATAAGAAAACTCAGCTATGAATAATAATGAGAAACCGTCATCTATGCACTCGCAGTTTTGCGCTACGTCATCGATTTTGATTCTGCCACAAAAATTATTTTAAACCTGGAAGATGAAATCAGTTGACAAAAGCTCAAAATTATTCAGTTTTTCCCACAAAATAAAGCTAACAGGTGCTAACATTGTCTTAACTGATGCTCAACACACACAAATCTGTTAAAATCTCAAAAAAAAGTTTCGTGAACCTTTAATATAAACTGGGACTGTCAGAAACTTTGTTGTCTGTTTTTGTGTTGTGAAGATGAATGAAGTTCTCAGTGGTTTGGAACAACATGAGGGCGAGCAATTACAAACCTCATCAAAATTTTTAGGTGAACTAAAAATGTACATGTGTGTGAACAGCCCTTGTGAGGAATGAATGGATGAATGGATGAATAGACAGATTGAATACTCACTTAGGTCTGAACATTGCACTATGTTGACTTGACAATGGCATCCAAAGGGACATATAAACACATCTGGTGGCAGTTCCTCCGAAGCTGAACCCTCTTCATCTCTCATCATTACTGTTGTCGAATCTCCTGCTTCTCCGTCCATTGCAAAGTCCCAGAATCCTCTCTGCTCAAAGGGCAGAGCCATTGAGGGAGCAGTGAGGCTGCAGACACTGAGTAGCAGCAGCAGGAGAGAGCGGCAGGAGAACATCACTGACATACACAGACTTACACACACTGACCTGGAAAACATGGAGACAAAAACAGAAGACACAATCAAATCAAAGATGATAATGATGAAAAATTCTACAGTAAACGTACAACAAAAACTGAGACCATAATGACTAAATATTCAAATTACTTTCAGAATTATTATTTCAGCTGCTACTGTGAATGGCATTATAAACCAGACTCCATACTGTAGATGTCAAAACATCTGTCTTTGCTTGCAATAAACAAAGCAATATCATCCAGTTGTGTGGATTTTGGTTTCAATTATTTTTCTAGTCTTGGCCTTTTAATTCTTTAATAATTAAAAAACATTGTCCATTACTGTGGCTCCATCTACAACAGGTAATAAGATGCATTTTAATCCATACAATATTAAGGGGATACCTTTGAATAAAGATGTAAATGGGGTTTAAACTGTTTAGCGCTTGTCCACTTTTATATCTTTCAGAGGTAGTCAAAAACACGTAAGATCGGATTGCATTCATATTGTTAACATCATTTTAGCTGATCATGTGTAATCGAATGACCTAAAACATATCAGGTGGAATAGTTTGTTCTGCTCATTATTTATTTAAATTCCTATACACGCAAAGCAAGCCCATTAAAGGAAGCCTTTTATTTCAGTGGAACTGAAAATGTGCTAATGTGCCCTGCAGTTATTTAATAAGGCTCTTCTGTCTTTTCAAGTTCGTCTCACAACCCATTTCCTTGACTCTGTTTATAATAATTAAGAACGTTTTCACAAAGTACATCAAAGAAACAGAACGGAACTGGGTTGTTATTTGGGTTTGAGAAGGATATTGTAACACTGCCATCTAAATATAAATACACCATACAGCACAGGACTTGCCCTTCCTGAGAAACACTGAGACAGCATTGGCATTTATCAGATTTGAGGGTACATTATTCAAAGGTACTAAAAGTATCCCATACAAAAGCTCTGAAGGATTTTTTATCATTAAAATGTTTCTATACACTGTAAAAAGCAATGGATGTTCTCATTAATAAAATTAAGTGCAGTTAGCTTATTATGAATAAGTTTGTTCATCTTACAATATTTGAACAAGTAATCCCAACTTTTTAGCACCATTAAGTTGTTAAACTAAATAGATTCAAGTAATCTTAAAATACAATAATATATATTTACAATAAGTTGGTGGTTCATTCCACTGTGGTGACTGCTGATTAATAAAGGGACTAAGCGGAAAAGAATGAAAGAATGAATGAATTTTTGAGTGGTCACTGTACAATATTTTGAGAATAAAATGTTTTAGAAGTGTAGGTATTTGTTTTTGTCTTAGATGTTTTAGTTCAGGTTACTTGATCATTTAAGGCAATCAGTTTCCTAAATTTTTTCCTAGTAATGTGAACACTAATAAAAAGTTAACACAACTAAATATTTTGTGTCAACGATACTGAAGTTTAGTTTATAAAGAAGTTGTAAATACAAACTGTTTTAAGTTATGCTTATCATGAATTATCCCTTCAAATGAATACACTAGTTTAACTTGGCAATTGGTTTCCTCAATGTTTCTAAGTAAGGTCAACTTATTACATTTTACAGTGTAGAGAAAGTAAATTAAAGGAACACTCCACTTTTTTGAAAATAGGCTTATTTTACAACTCCCCTAGAGTTAAACATTTGGATTGTACCATTTTTTAATCCATTCAGCCAATCTTCGGGTCTGGCGGGGGCACTTTTAGCTTAGCTTAGCATAAATTATTGAATCCAATTAGACCATTAGCATCTTGCTCAAAAATATCCAAACAGTTTCAATAATTGCCCTTTTTGAAGCTTGACTCTTACATTGTGTACTAAGACCAATGGAAAATTAAAAGTTGCTATTTTCTAGGTGGAGTATATTTCCTAGCCATATCGCTCTAAAAAATAGCAATTTTTCATTTTCTGTGTGGTCTTAGTACATGGTGTAACTACAGAAGAGCCAGAAATTGTCTAAATGGATTGAAAAGGGTAAAACACCATGTAAAAACTGTTTAATTCTATGGGTGTTGTTTAATGAGTCTATCCCCCCCAGAAATGTTAAGTGGTTCTTTAAGTGCAACCATTTAGTTCATATGTTTTATTAAGTGAATGGGAAACTAAATAGACAAATGGTAAATGTCTGTGCAGGTCTGGTCAGACAGTGTGTGGTGGTGGAAAAACTCAAACTGGCCTTCTTAAAACATCTCTTAAAACAAGCCATTCATTAGACAGGAAGGAGGTAGGAGTGGATATTTCTGACAGTCTCTGTTAGTGTGTGTGTGTAAATGTCTAAAAGGGTGGGAGCCTCATGAGGTCATTTCTCAATGTCTTCCAGCTGAGTCCTGTGACGTCACCAGAAATGTGGGTTTTGGCTGAAAAGTGGTTTAGGATCTGGAGTCTGCAGAACCAGCAGATGATATCAATGACACATTAGACATGGGTCTGTAAACCTAAACCACAACACCCCCACACCCTCCACCTGTCACTCCTGACTTAACCATGGCCTTTGTGTTGAACTTAAACTAGCCAAGGCCTAAAATTAAAGCCAACACCTGTCACAAACAGACCATCTAAACTCAACCTTAATCCTAAACTTTGACCCTGACCCATGCATAGCCTTAATACCTGATATTGGATGTGATATCTCATGGCTAAAGCTAGAGCAACACAACATTACAATTATCCATTAAAATCATCCAGCTGGGGGAAATTTCACTGCCATCAAAGTTGATTGCCCATACAATTGAGCCGCCGCAATACTTTAATCCATAGTATTCTCTATACATGCTGGGAAGAAACACATGTGGATAAGCAAGAGGAGCCAAATGCCACGGGATGTTGTGTGTACTAAGAGAGAAGCTTAATGTCTTCCCATCACAATTTTACTCTCACATTCAAATACACTGCCTCAACAACACAAGTCTTTTTTTTTTTTAAACTGAAGCATCTGTTTATTTATAAGCTGAAACTGCAATACAATCAAAGTTTTTTAAAATATAGTAATAAAATAAATCTAGTACAAATGCTAAAGGAAGCTCAGTATTACATTATGAAACAAATGTTGGCAACCGCTGCTAAACACCACTTGCCTTTGACAGCAAAAGCCGCTATATCCCGAGAACCAATCAGAAGGCGCAAATCGAATCATATGTTTTCAATGTAGCATCGCACTGATACACTGGCTTTTATGAGGAGACATATTCTGCTTTCGATTTTGATTTTAAAACATGGAGTTTGATGAACTGGATGAGCCTGTCTGACAGTCAGTGAATGACAAATGAAAATGCCCCTTACCTCAAAACTGTGCATTATAAGAAAAAGAAAATGTGCAGTCTGAAGTGTAACATGTATTCATAACGTGTTTCTATGCAGCGACGCTACTTTGAATGAGTCCAATTTACTATACAATAAATGACAACTCCATTTCACAAAAGACAGAGTTAAGATGCCATTCTTTTATCCCACGTGGATGCTATGAGGATAAACAGGGGACCAAGACCTTAAGTTTGGTGAGAATGAATGAATGACAGCTTCTAAAATTGTCTGAGAGGCATCCTCTTTTTGCCCAGTAGGCTTACCTTGTGTTTTATTTGCAATATTAAGCTACTTTTTAAAAGATAAATATAATGTATAAACCTATACATTATTTACATTACTTCATAACACTTATAGATCCGATAAGCTTTTAGCCACTGTCACTGTAAAAAGACTTGTACATGGATGGTAAATTTGCTACAAAAATGTAATCTTTTACCATACTATTTATTAAGTGTATATATATATATATATACAGCTGAGAAACTATGTTTGTACATCTATCTCCCACTTTGAACTATTAGCAGATGAACATGATGTATAAATTACTTTCTGTCTCTCCTGATGCCTCTAATTTGATTTCCCATTTTGTAGACATTTTTAATGATCAGTTTGACATATCTACCTTGTATTTGAAAGATTCCTGGAAGAAAGATTTAGGCATTAAAATGACCAATGAGGACTGGGAAAAGTCTATCAAGGTCATAAATACATGTTCTTTTAACTCCAGACATCAACTAATCCAGTATAAAGTGCATTCATTTTTCTAGGGTTAAGCTTAATAAATTCTACTCCTCCATCTTCTCTAAATGTAACAAGTGTGAATCTGTGGAGGACTCTTTAGGATATATTTTTTGGACATGAGAGAAATTTTCAACTTCTACTCTGAGGCTTATTCTTGTGAACTCGCACGTGAGCCAGCAATCGCTGTTTTTGGTTGGTCTGACTCACTTTGTGGGTTCAGTCATCAATTTTAAAAAGCTGTTCAATATTGAATGGTGTTAGTAAAAAAATTATTCTTTATTTTTGGCAAAAGGCATCAAAACCACTTTTTAAATCCTGGATTTCAGAATTCTCTACCACTTTACATTTAGAGAGACTAAGACACAATCCTGATAACATTGCTGGCTTCGAAGCCACCTGGAAACCCTTTTTTAATTATTTGTCATATGCCCAGGATAACAGTTTAAAGATATAACCCTGTCATCGTCTGCAAGATCAGCATATTGCCTGCGTCCACTCGCCTAGATATATGTGTATCATTGTTGACCCATGTATAATATTGGAGGAACTGATTTATTGGTTTTTATAATGGTCTTATATCCTTTTTTTGTCTTTATAATTGTTCTGTGTTGCTTTAAGTAAAATAAAATATAATATTAAAAAAAAAAAAAAAAAAAAAGATTTATTAATCTGGGGTCGCCACAGCAGAATGAACCGCCAACTTATCCAGCACATGCCCTTCCAGCCACAACCCAACACTGGGAAACACCAATACACTCTTGCATTCACACATACACCACGCCCAATTTAGCTTACCCAATTAACCTAAAGCACATGTCTTTGGACCGGAGCACCTGGAGGAAACCCACATGAACACAAGGAGAATAGGCAAACTCCACACAGAAATGCCAATTGACGCCGCTTGAGGCTCGAACCAGCGACCTTCTAGCTGTGAGGCAATCATGCTACCCAGTGCTCTATCGTGATGCC